GGAGGGCGCAAAAAAAGTTTTAAACGCTATTATCAAAAAGTACTTATTACTTAATAACTTTGATTATCTTTTATAAACTATAAATGGTTATATAAAAAGGAGTAGCGATCTATTTCGGCGCCCAGGACGAACTATCAATTGTGCATCCCCACCTCAAAATTAGGTCTATATAGGCCTATATTTATTCGCGATTTAGTGATTGTTCCCGCGCATCACAAGACGTTCCAAAACACGTGCAATTTTGTAAGTCTCGTTTTCTCTGACTTTGAATTAGAAATCTTTCCTGATGTACAGAGTTTTGTAATGACAGGGTGTTCAAAGTATTGTACTTGTTTGGTAAGTTTTGATGAATCGTTTAGATTTAGGAGTAACGGCGGAAGGCTGTTGCTGATATGGTTTCGTAGGTATAAAGTATCGAAGTGTTAAAGTGTCGTATTTTTAATTTGGCTGTTGTGTATTTGTAGATCCAGTGGAATCTGATTGGCAGTAGAGAAATGAGAATGTAGGTGATGAAGTATCGTTGTTCTGGAGTTCTGAAGTCTTGTGTTATTCAGGTATCGAATTGTGTTGACTGTTAACTTGTAGTAGTAGGTCCAGTGAAATCGTTGTTGATTTGGAGTATCGTTTGTAGAGCTTGGTAAAGTTAAGCGAGTTGGTGTCATAGTTCTGGAGCATCGATTCTAGTTATGTTTAGGTATCGAAGTTTGATATGTGTTGTGAATGTAGTAGAGTATATCGAGTAGTCGAGTTTACCGTAAGTTAGATTATATCAATTCAGGACGGAACACACTACAAAGAAAGGTAGGCGTTCTCTAGGTGAAAAGTCTTTAGTTTTGAAGGAATGTATATTACCACTCTTAAAGTATTAATATATAATATTATATAGGCTGAAATTTATAACTAACCGTAAACTTTGTTCTTTTTAAATAATAATTTGTTTTTATATTTAATCAATAATTATAGCAATATATTATATAGTTTCCCTTTTTAATTTTTTGAAAGCGTCCCTTTATTTATTTATTTATTTATTTTTTATTTATTTATTTGGAGGATCCAAAAATTTTTTATTGAAGCAAAATCAGTATCGACAAGAAATGTATGTCATCAAATTGACTAGAAGTATGCTATAATAAAGCTACGGTGTTTAGACAAAACCTACAGTTAAGTAGTAAATGAGTAAAATATATTCTTTTGACATGATTACATAGCTAATATAAAAGATTTCTTTTCATTACTACCTTATAAAATTTAGAGCGTTTAATTGTGTGTGGTTTTTTTTTTTTAAAGAATCTCTTAGTTACTCTTGGTTAATGTAGCTATTCTTGTGAAAGTTAGTTCCCTTGGAAAAGTTTGGTATTTGGATTTCAAAATGGGAGATAATTCGTTTCTTAATTTTACATTCATTTCAAATTCATGCACCTTAGGTTGACCGCTTACATATATTTATAAATACAACTTTAAGTTATTATTTGCTATTGTAAAAATTATATAGAGCACAAGTTCTAAACAAAATAGTTTGGTAGATTTTTTTTAGCATTATCAGGTTGAAAAACAAATTTATCAGTAGTCAGTAGTCGTTGTAGATTGCAATACTTAATGCAATACTTAATGTTAGGTGTCGTCCATAAATGACGTCACACTCGTAAGGGGGGGGGGGGGGGGGGTCGGTAATTTTGTGACGATATGTGATGAGGGGGAGGGAGGGGGTTCAGATGGTGCGACGTCACACTTTTGCTTTATAGATAAGAAATGTTAGAAAACGAATTTTAGACGTTATTTAGCGTTTTAGAAAACAGTTTTACTAAATTATAATAGGAATTGATTAAAATACTCTATTTTGACATATTTCAGACAAGATTTTGGAAAAATATCGATGTTTAAAAAAAATGCAACTGCAATTTTGAGGGGGGGGGGGGGGGGGGTAGGCAGAGGTGTGACGTCATTTTAGGGGGGGTCTGGCTTTTTGTGACGACAAGTGACCGAGGGGAGGGGGGGGGAGGTAAAAATTTGTCAAAAAAGCGTTACGTCATTTATGGATGGCCCCCTTAATAGACATACATTGTGAGATAGTGCAACAAATAGTCTAAAATAGTCTAAAATAGTCTTAGTCGCAAATTAATCGTCTAATTAATTGTCTTTTTCATATTTTTCACCCTCATCTAAAGGATTCAAATATAACAATTATAGGCTGGAATCTATAACATTTATAACCTGTTATTTTTTCAAAAACAAAAAATCGTTACATAATCACACACTATAGACAGTTTACAATTATAACTAAAGACGGTGAAGCTGAAAACATGACAGTTCCGTTCTGGAACTCACCTTGGGAGGTCTGCAGAGAGCCTAACACTACAAGAACTGTGTTTTTTCCCCCAGTGTTTTTTCCGGGGGGGTGGGGGGAGGCTGTTTCGTAAAGTATAAAGTAGGCTCGTGGACTCAGCAACTATTTCAATAGAATGTGATAACGCTTGCAAACTGGAATTAGTACAAACAATTTGCGACGAAGGAGGCAAGTAAAATTTAATTTTTATGTGTACTTATAACGTGTATGCAATTGATAATAAATTAACATGTCGCTTTTCATTAATTGTTGTCTTATACATATGTTTTAGTAACTAATTTTTGTGAAAAAGGGCATTTCAATAAGTTTTGCCTTGGGCGCTAAATAACATGGCGCCGGCACTGATGGTATTAACCATTAATACTGGAATTATTGAAGCAAATGTTGAACCACACAGAAATAGATTTTACATGTATTACATTTCGCAGGCACATGTATTACTAAATGTAAACGTATCTTAGTTACAAAAATACTACGATATATATATATATATATATATATATATATATATATATATATATATATATATATATATATATATATATATATATATATATATGTATATATATATATATATATATATATATATATATATATATATATAAAGTATATATATATATATATATATATATATATATTTATATATATATATATATATATATATATATATATTTATATATATATATATATATATATATATATATATATATATATACTTTATATATATATATATATATATATATATATATATATATATATATATATATATATATATATATATATATATATATATATATATAAAGGGATACTGGCAACACAATGTCTCCCTAAGTGGTAAAGTAAATCACGAACTATAAAAGCTAAAACAACAGATTAGTGTCCCCACATACAATTATTTCCTGCAGTCAAATAATTTCTGAACTACTAAATATCTTACGAGTTGTATTCAAATGAAGAACTATAGTAAGCTAAATAAACAATAGATTCGCGATCCACATTAAAAGTCTAGCAAGTAATAAAATAACTTCTAGACAGTGTCCTGTTTGTCTAACAGTCAAATGACTATTGTTATATTGAATTACAGTCGTAATCATAGAATCATACACCCATACAGTTATATGGTCATACAGTCCTTTAAAAACTAGTAGTAAGATTTAGATTTCTTAGAGTTTCCTAACAACATTCAGATTTATCATGAACCAACAGCTTTAATGGACGGTAATGTTACATAGTTTAAATATATAGCATACACTATCACATTTCACATTTTAAAAACACATATAATAATATATTTTTAAAATGCACATTCTAAAATGTTGGACATTAAAAACGAACTCTTAACATTGAAACTGGAAAGGTTCAATGAAGTACTGCCGATGGCAGAGCTGAGTCACAACAAATGACCATGTTATAAAAAGAATTTTATTCAAGCAGTAAGAATTTAATTTATTTTACACTAACCCTATAACCGATTAGCAAAACATGCAAATCGTTTCTAGTTGTAAGAAATGTGAATTAGATTATTTACATATTCAGATAGAAAATTATATGGTCTGTTATTTTTAAGTATATTTTCGCTTAAAGCCCCCCCCCCTCATCACCATCATTAATCGTATTAAGGCAGACAGCATATGGTGTTTGCTAAACAAACGGTTCTAAAATTGGTTAGTGGACTGTGGTTCTCAACTTTGGAACATGAAAGCTGTCAGTGATACTGAATCTTTTAACATATGGCTATTGATATTTAGTGGTCCTAAATTGTTGAACAAATAGGCCGTCAGTGGTCCTCAATTGTTGAACAAATAGGCCGTCAGTGGTCCTCAATTTTTCAACATTTGGGCAGCCATGTTGAGCAGTACTCAACTTTTGTAACATGTGTACAACCAGATAACCCCATACTTAGCACGGCTTTTCAATCTTATACTACAAAACAAACTAAATATCTCACTGCCAAAACAACCTGCTTCCGCCAATGACAAATTTAAAAAAGAAACACGAGTGTTGTAATAATATGAGAATCACTGACAGTTATACAAACTTTCTTTATCTAGACGGAGGTCGGGTTAACCATCACAGCTGGGGGCTCTCATCGATTTTGGCCCCTGTGTTCTAATGATGTGATGAATCACTGACTGTTACACGTATATTCGTTATCAACATGGAGAGAGTTAACTGTCACAGTAGGGTCGATTTAGGCCCCAGTGTTCTAATGATGTGAGAATCACTGAATATAGCACGTTCATTCGTTATCATCATCATCACACACACACAGAATTAATTGTCACAGTTGCGACACTGATGTATTCTGATGATTTGAGGATCACTGAACATGTACATTCGTTATCAACACGGAGAGGGTTAACTGCTACAGTTTGGGCCCCTGGTCGGTTCAGGCCCCAGTGTTCTGATGATGTGAGAATCACTGACTGTTACACGTACATTCGTTATCAACACACAGGGAGAGAATTAACTTTCACATTGGGGAATCAGGTCGGTTCAGGCCCCAGTGTTCTAATGATGTGAGAATCACTGGCTGTAACATTCGTTATCAACGCAGATGTCGAGTTTAGTGTCATAGCATAAGACTCTGGTCGGTAAAAGCCCCAGTGTTCTAGGGATGTGAGAATCACTGGCTGTAGCACGTAGACTTTATCAACGCAGATGTCGTGTTTAGTGTCTTAGCATAAGGACTCTGGTCGGTTGAAAAGTTGGATCAATTTTCAGCTGGGTAACCGTGTCTCTTTCATAAGGTAAGCTTGGGTTTATTTTGGTAAAACCCTTTTTTTAAATGCTAGAGCTTGGTAGAAGCTGATAAAGTAGATGAGGTACACAGTTAAAATATGCAGAGTACCACTTGAAACAGGTTTAAGTGCTACATCTTGATGGAGATGAATGGCTAGGTCGTAATTTTATTGGAGAATCACCTTTAATTAATATTACAGAATATTTTGTTTTATAAATAATGTGTTTAAGAAGTATTCGTGAAGTTATATTGTATAGTATGTCTGATATATGAGGGTTGTAGGAAGGGGTGTTGTACGGGTTGGGGAACAACAACCAGCACATTATAAATAACTAGCCATGGGTACCCGTTACACGCGAATTATAGTCCCCTATATATTTTTACTGTTATACTTGTTTGAGAAAAAATAATTTATAAAAATGGTATAGGTTATAACGCAATGCGTTGTATTACACGCTGATATTTTTAGTTAAATATTTATCAAAAACACAGAAAAAAATGTGATCTAAAGTGTTGTCACTCTTTAATTCATAAGCGCATAATTTTTATATCCATTTTTTGTATCGATGGTATGTAGAAGGGTCAGAGGCGTAGCGAGGGGAGGCGGGGGGTGTACCATATGTCACCGGGCGCCGACCTTAGGGGGCGCCAAAATGGGTTGGAAAAACAAATTATAATGTCATTTTAGCTGCATTTGTGCATTATAAATAGTTTGAGGAGGGGCCGCCAAATTGAAAGTTTTCCCCGGGCGCCGGGAAGGGTCGCAACGCCTCTGAGGGGGTGGGTGGAGGGGGGGGGGTCGGGATTAAAACAAAAACCAATTAATTAGTGCTAAATATACATTCATAGGATCCGCGGTTGACGACAAGGGCGGAAAACAGCGAATTATTGATAAAATAATGCGACCTCCCGTTATATTAAAAATATAAACTTAATTTTCTTTTTTGTTAAACCTTTAGAATTAGAGCACGAACGTGCGTTATCTGTCGTTTGACTCTAGTTCTGTTTAGTATTGAACATCCTTACACCAAGATTTATCTTAGCTCAACAAAACCTGTTGTTTTTTCTCAGTTATAGTTAATGACTATGTGGTGGTATAATTCTAAACTATATCGCACATTTTTACTTTCTCGTATACAAAGTATAGGAAGTATTGTAATCATGCAAAAAATCGAAATCGAGATTTTCACAAATTGCGACGTTTTACGTCTGCCTCAGTCGTAAAAACATAATTTTGCAATTTTGTCTGTATGTCTGTGTGTGTATGTATGTATGTGTGTGTATGTCTGTGAAAACGATAACTTGAGCATCGTTAAAGCTTGGTTGATGAAATTTCATATCTAAGTATTATGTCAAATTTGTAGTTCTGTATCAGCTTTTCGGCGATTTCCGGTAACCAGAAATTTCACGCATAAGTAAAAGATCTAAAGATCTGAAAATAAGAAAATAGAACTAGTTTGATTTCTTTCATAAATGCTTTGGTCGCTCGTGATATCTTTTACATATGTTAGCGACAAATATATATGATTTATTTTCTACTTTTTAAGTGATTCCTAATTTTTAAAGTCGACACGACTAAAAATAGTTGCTTTAAAACACCATCAGTAGCTCGCAATATCTAAAAGACGATTGTCTGCCCCGTGAAAGCAGCCGTCCGTGACCATATTTTACAAACGACATAATTTTCTTGATTTTGTTATCTCCCCTTAGTTTCAACTCATTTTAAAACTTAATTATCTACCCCTAATAACCTTCATTAGATCGACCGGCTCTACGATTATGAACATTCTTGTGAACCACAGTTCACCAGAGTGTTAGGGTGATTCCGTCTAGTTTGTTATTAAAAATTGTAGTCTATCGGGTGGTTTGAGTTTGTTATCTCCCCCTAGTTTCAAAATCTTTTAATCAATTTGACTAATTAAACATATAATTAAATTTTTAAAAAAAATTGATAGACTTGTATTGTCATTGTAGTGGAACGTATCTGGAAAGTTTAAGCGAAACTGCTGCATTAGAAGTTGGTCAAAATTGAGTTACAAATTTGCCACAAACCCACAAACAAACAAACAGACGTTGCGAACTAGATCTAAATAAAAGCTAGTTGCATGGCTGCCGGTGCCCATACCTCCACACACCTGAACATTCTAGTCAAACTTTTTACAAACCATTCCCCCGCATCATAAAAGACCAAACCCCACCCACCTCCATACATCTAGAAGTGTGAATTAATTTATGGACGACCTTAGAAGCTTGTGTAAAGTCATTCTTCTTCTGCATGCCTGAACATTATAAATTTTTATTTTTATCATTTCTACCACTTGATGCTGTTTTTATTTTTTAGGTCGTATTTAGAAATGCAGATAGCTACGTGACAAGCCCCTCCCTACCCATCCCCCAAACAATACATGACTTAACAAACAGGTTTTTACAATGTTGAACAAGTTTAAGCAACTTTTATTACTCATCATAATAGTCTCTGTGATATTCACAACGTTGAAATACGCCCTGTATGGATCTGACGACATCGGCTATACCTACGTGCAAAAGGAAGTGATGAATTCTTCTAAAAATAGCCCGATGAGTTTAAATCTGAATAGTAATCTATGCCAGATAAATATTTCGCATCTTTGCCAAAAACAAGTTTCCACAAAGCCGATAAATACGACTATTAGTTTAGAAAAAAGCAAGAATAATTACATTGAAATTGAAACAGATAATTTAACAGTGAAAAATGTAAGTAAAGTATACACGCATGTTTTAACCGAGTTCACACCTGCTATAGCTGTACCTTCTAGCACCATCAACATTACAAAGTTAGTTTCCCACGACCCATATTCCAACACCACAAAGACAGACCCCCACGACCCATATTCCAACATCACGAAGCTAGACCCCCACGACCCCTACTCCAAGATCAAGGAAAAACTCCTATCTGGATCACCCATCTCCGTCCACGTCATCAACCTATCCAGTTGGTTACTGCCTTACTTAAAGAACGCCCCTGCGTGTTGCCATGGCGACTGCGTGTTCGACCAAGACAACATCACAGACGGCACTGACGTGGTGGTCATCGTGGGTTTCCACCTGACCGAGTCACAGCGGCCGGTGCGCAGGTGGCCAGGACAATTGTATCTACTGCTGGACAAAGAGCCGCCGATGAATTTACCAAGCTATCTGTGGGACGGTTAGTTGACTGATTTTTTTTAACAATAGGGCTGGTAAGTAGGTCACCAACCAGTTCTACGGCTCAATAAAACCTGCATAAGCCATAGCACTGGTTTGTGACCTACTTACCAGCCCTATTAGGTGTACTGCTGGGTCTATTTTTTGATTAGGATTTTAGTTTGGTAAACGTTAGGGGATTGGTTAAGGTTAGATTTAGGGCTGTAATTAGATTTTGAGATCGGGGTAATGCTATGTGTATAAGGTACGGTTTATGTTAGTTTCACCATTAGGGTTAAAGTTAGTGTGTTAGAGAAAGCGGCGTCACAAGGTCGGGCTACATCCGGTGCGGTAATTCAGGGTATCAACACAAACGAGTAAATATTTTCTTGTAGGCCTACTCAAACTATAGATAATTGGGTAAATGGTGTCACCGTGTACGTAATGAAGGTTTTTTTTCGTTAACATTAATTATATTTCGTTGTGGTGTCACTCCGTTCAATCCGCACCACTCTCCCTCCCCAGCCTTAGACGCTACTGTTTAGATTTATACTATATTATTAATTTTAAAGTTAGAGTTCATGCTAGGCTTAAGTTTCAAGTTTTAACTTAAAATTTATACATATTTATTTATCTGCACCACTAGCTTAATCAGGTAACACGTTTATCATCACATATTAAATGCAAATACTTTGAAAAATTACTTTATCAATATAAAATGAAGTCTATAAAACATCAATAATATAAAAATACCAAAAAACTACATTTAACATTTTTAAAAATAATTTTTCTCTCCTTAGATATAATATTAAAAGCGTCTGGCGCTAAAATTCTACTTAGAGATTTTATAGATGATTAAATTGACAAAGTTTTTAATAACTTCAAAATGTAGGGTTTGGCTACGTCAAACTGTTATTTCCAAATCTTCATTTGAAAAAAAAATGGTCTAGAATGTTTTACAGCAGAGGCGTATCAGGAAGTGTGGACCGCACCGGGTAACAACATTTAGGGGGGTGACACCAAGACAACATATTGCAAAATGCACAGAAGAAAAATGCTTTTTTGCCAGTTCCATTAATGATTAATAAAAGTTAAATAGTCTTATAAAGTACAAATCGACAACTATTACAGGAGTCGGGTGACACCATGACGTAAACGTGCTAACTATAGAGAAAACATTTCTACATCCAAATGTACTATTAACAGACTATAGTCTGTAGTGAATAAAGCTTATAGACATACATGTACGCTTATGCGGCATATATTTAAATTATAGGCCTATGTAGGCCGACATACACCCATACATGTGTATATATATAATATATATACTTTATTTCTTGGGGGGGGGGGGGTGGGACACCACGTAGTGCCGCACGTGGTGTCCAATGTTCCCTCTTAGCTGTAGTTTTGAGCTGCCGCGCAGTGATTTTGTAAAAAAAAATATATTACCGTATAAGACTTTTAGAACACCGCGCACAGAAAATGCAATTTGCACATTAGCTTTTCCCCCTTAGAGGGAACAGTGGTGGTGACACCCGACCTAGCGACGCCACTGTTTTACGGACAGTGTTTCTTCCAGACTTTTTTCTCCGGGGGAGCACTTGAAATTTTCGGGGGGGGGGGGGGGCGGTAGACTTTCTTCGGGGGGGGGGGGGGCGGACACTGTTAAAAGTATATATTTTCTATATAAATTACATAAATTTCATTTCGTTCGGGGGGGGGGGGGGGGCTGTAAAAATTGTTCGGGGTTGCTTCGCCCCCCCGAAGAGATGCCTGGAAGAAACTCTGTTTACGGATCGGCAGATTACTCCCTTCAAACAAAGGAACAACATTTCAAATACATGTACATTTATTATAGCTACAATTCGCTTCACAAACTTCCAACTACAAATGCAAATGTTTTGTTATGCTAATCGTATTTACGTCCACAATTAATCGTGCATGTTTTGTTTCGTTTCAGATAGATCTAGTCTAAGGTATGCTTTTAACTTCACCGCCCACTACAGCGTGGACGCCGACATCTTTTGGCCTTATCACATGCTAAAGAGAGTAAAGAACACGAACAATTTAAACTATTGTAAGTCATACTCTTCTAGAATGGTAATCTTAACTTATAGTAAATTATTCTTTTTATATTTTCATAATTCTTTTTGAAAATCATTGAATGTTAGATTTTGAGTGGGCAGATGGATTGTGTTTCAATTAAAAGACCAATCAACTATTTCCCATAAATCTACTAATTTGAATCAGCTGGACTTATCAGAGGCGTAGCGGGGGGGGGGGGTACATATGTCTCCCGGGAGCCGACCTTAGGGGGCGCCAAAATGGGTTAGAAAAACAAATTAAAATGTCATTTTAGCTGCATTTTTGCATTATAAGTAGTTTGGGGGGGGGGGGGGAGGGGGGGGGAGAGGGGTGCAAATCGAAAGTTTGAAGGGGCATCAAATTGAATGTTTGTTCACGGGCGCCGGGAAGGGTCGCTACGCCTCTGCGACTTACCATACTCCTGTAGAACCAATCACTCGTAGCTAATTGATAATATGTCAATTAATAAAGTACACTTTAGGCTACCTGCATTATTTTTACTGCCTGTTTTATACAATTGAATAGAAATTACTTTTTTTTAATTAGACCAATATATTTTTCCCATGATTAAGATTATTGTGCATAATCTATTATTTTCACTTAGATGAAATCGCCAAATCCAAAAAGAAAACAGCTGTGTGGTTTGTCAGTCATTGTCACTCCAAGTCCAAGCGTGAAGACTATGTCAAGGAAATGCAGGTTAGTAAGAGAGAGATATAGGAGTTAATCTCTGAAGATTACGTCAGATGATAATTATTGTGTTGTTAGCGGCTAGTCACGGTGGATTATATTATGGATTATTACTTAGGATTATTATGGTGGATTATGTCAGGGGCTGTTGTGGGGGATTAAGTCAGGGGCTAATTACGGTGGATTGTGTCAAGTGGCAATTAGTATTGATCACGCCAATATAATCAGTTAAAATTGGGAAACTGCAATTGAAAGTTGGATGACAAACAAAAAGTAGTTAGTAGCTTGAACTTTAATCAAAAGGTTGTATTAAAAACTAGGAATAGCAGCACTTTATGGAGTGTAAATTAAGGTTAGTATTTACATTAAAGCTAAGGAAAGATTTTTACTAAACTAAGAAGCGATTCAAACGAGACTCAACTTAAACATCATAAATACAAAAAACAGGGGTTGGCGTGGTCGGGTCGGGAAAGGTAATGGCTGCTAAACCGAAGCGTCCCAAATCCAAACCCAGGGCAGATGAGGCTCGATAGATGGGGACAGTAACTCCTCTAGGGGAGACAACTCCAAAATCAAACAACTGTTGCCTTGTAGTTAGTTGTAGTTTGTTCTTGGTTGGTCAAAGGCTATGGAAGCAAATCAATAAAAGAAAAGCATACTGAAAATCGGAGTCAACGACCTAAATGACGAATAAACAAGTTGACACGTAATACTTGTGTTTGAGGATATCCCGTCCAATATTAAAATTAAGGACTAAAAATAAAAGTTTAAAAAAGCAATCCCATTTTTAAAATAATGTATAATAATTAACCTTTAGGGGGTCGGCGTGGTCGAGTCGGCCAAAGCTAATGGTTGATAAATGCGAAAAAGTCTCGAGTTCAAACTCTCTGGCAGATAAGGCTCGATCCCTCCAACACTAAAAATTAAGAACGAAGAAGAAGAAGAAGAAGATAAACCTTTAAATCGATTTGTCAAAGTGTTCTCTGATTTCAGAAATACATCGACGTCGACATCTTTGGACGCTGTGGCAACGACAGCGTCTGTCCTACTGGCTCGTCGCCCGACTGCCTGTTGCAGGTTCTAAACCAATACAGGTTCCACCTGTCTTTTGAGAACTCCATGTGTAAGGACTACATCTCAGAAAAACTGTTCAAAGTCTTCACCCCGAAGACGCACATCGTCCCAGTGGTGAGGGGTGGGGCCGACTATGAGAAGAGTATCCCTAGTCATCTGTTTATAAACGCAAACCATTTCCACACAGCTAAAGACTTAGCGCTGTATTTGAAATCTCTAGTTGCTGATGAAGTTAAATATAGCGACATGCTTAGAGATATAGATGAGTACGTATTTACAGCGATACCTAATATTTTTTGCACTATCTGTCAGAAGTTGAAGTCTTTTAAATTGAAATCAAAGTTTTATGATATTAAAAAATGGCTAAACGAACAATGCTATGAACCGAAAGAATTTACATAATAAAATAGAGGAAATGGATTTGCTCTGATCAACTAAAGAGAAGCTTACTTTAAACTTCCCGAAAAGGCGAGGCAGACGGCTCACTTTTGGAGTAAAAATAAAAGCTGACCCAATGAAGCCTTGCTGAATACTTAGACGACTTAATTAAGAGTTAAACATAGTCGGATTTTTGAAATTTCTCTGTCACCCTCTACACAAAAGTAAGCCGGGGTCAACAATGGGAAATATTTCATGGATTAGAAATTATTTGTGAACCTGTAAAGGAATGAACATGGTTTACCACCCAGAGTACTTTAAAAGGCCGAGAAGCGTTATTTTAGTATATTACAATAAAATTACTTACAGTCCTGGAGAAGAAGAGTAGAAGAAGAAGGAAGGGGCTTCAAGGGGCGTAAAAAAAAGAGAGCTGTCCAAAGCCGAGTGGAGAGGTGTGGATGTAGCCCTTTGCTAACTTGGCGGTAGGCCTACATAAGGAATAAAGAAGATAAAATCTACCGGGTGGTAAAACTAACCAGTAAACTAGACAGTAACTTGAAGAAATGTTGTGAGTGGATGCGTTTACATTGTCCAGAATAACAGACGTCTGGTAGGTTGTTTCAAATAAAGTACAATAGCCCCAACATACTGACCGTTAATAGTTTTTTTGTATATAGTACATTCTATTTTCATGTCACTTCTGAAGTCGCCCTCAAAACCTATTCAACTTACCGTGTAGTGACAGTCTCTCATAGCACGGCCATGCTCACACACATCAACTACACACCCCACCCCACACGAGAATGATAGCGCCACTCACGGCCATGCCCACACACATCAGCTACACACTCAACCCCTCCCCCCCCCCCCACCACACAAGATTGATAGCGCCATTTACGCTTGCCAGCGGATCGTATTTTTTACCAGATTTTTACATTTGTTTTCGCTAATACTGTAAACACTTAAGTGTCTTCAAAAAGAAAACAAAAACATAAAGAACATATTTATTCACATAAGAGAGCGGGAGATTTAAATCAAGAAATACGCTGTGTACCAATTTGCTTAATTTCATAAAATCGACGAAACGACTCCATGTTATGAAACTTTACCAACTAAAAGTGCTTGAAATGAATTAAGAAGATTAGGATATCAGTTTTGCAACACGTTCTGGCACCCCCTCCCCCACATTTAATAGGAGTGTGACGTCATTTATGTACCACACCTTTAGCAAAAAATAATTAAAAGCATATATATATATATATATATATATATATATATATATATATATAAAGATAGAGAAAAAGACGTTCTGTATATATAGTGAATAATTTAATGCAGAAAAATAAAAAATTAGATTTCCATGAAGAACAAAGAAAGATAATCCAGAAAAACAATTCTAAAGGCTTTTTTTCGAGTTACGTCCCTATCTGACATAACATCACCAAAACAACTTTACATATCAACAAAACAGGCTCACACTGTTGAAGGCACCCACTGATTCCCCCCCCCCCCCCCCCCCCCCCCAGGAGAAGAAAGTTTGGAAGAAACACTGCCACTGATTTTCATCAGTGTCAATGTATAAGCCACATTGGCCAATAACTCAACCTGTGTTCAAATGGATCGACACTCTGCCAAACCATTTCCACTACAAATAACACAAGAGCACATCATAGATCCCTTATGATAATAGGCTACTAAATGTAAAGTTTTCATGTTAGAAAAACAATTTTTAAACAAATGGAATAGCTCTAGGGCTTTCTGCATTTTTTACTTTCTCGTATATACGAAGTATAGAGAAAGTATTGTAATCGTGCACAAAAATCACTTGAAATTTTAACAATTTTCACCGTATTACACCTCAGTCCTTCATCACATCCGAAGTATAGAGGACTTATTTTAATCGGGCAAAAATTATCAATCCAGATTTATCAAAATTAAGAGGTTTTATGCGTAATCCAGTCTGAAAAACTGGGCTTTGCAATTCTGTCCGTATGTCTGTGTGTCTGTCTGTCCGTGTGTAAACACGATAACTTGAGTACCGTTACAGGTTGATGAAATTTCATATTTAAGTATTTTATCAAAATCGTAGATCCGTATCAACTTTTGAGCAATTTCCGATAACCGGAAGTGGTACTTTTTCTACTTTGAATTTTTCAAAAGCCTATAACTTGAGTACTATTACAGATAGATAAATGAAATTTCACATGTAAGTAAAAGATCTAATTCTCTACCTTCTGTTAAATTTTGAGTAATTTCCATTGACTGGAAGTACTAATTTACGCTACTTCCGATTTCTCAAAAAACTAATGTAAATTTTTAAAGTACTAATAATATTGCGCACTATTATGCACTTTTTTATTTGACGTTCAGTTGGTGTGCAATTCTTTTGTCTACAAGATTTTATTCTATTTTTAAAACTTTAAGTATTTAAAATGGATTAAAAATCATGTCTATAGCCCGAGTTCCCATCCCCTGTTGTTTTATATAAGAATATTCGAGAAAGTTTAGGGGAGATCACTCCCGGTTTATTTTCAACCAAAAGCAAAAGGTAGACCAATTAAAAATAAAATTAATTATTCTTTTTTTTTTTGTGAAATTTTGATTTTATTAATTACTTTTGATAACAATGGTATTAAAATTGGTTATTTTTTTGCAACAGAATTTTGTAGTTAATTACTTGGAACATGCAATAGAACATAAGACATTATATCACAGTTAACTAGCACAAAAAATTGTTTAAAATAAATTTATTGAAATATTTTAAATCACAGTAAATGTACAAAAAGATTTTCATCTTTCACAAAGTAACAATAACAAATCATAATACATATTTAACTTTGTTTTTAAGACATGCATATTGGTAGTCCTAGACATACTTCGCACACTAAGTCTTACTTTGTATTTCAAATTTTAATCACATGTTTTAAAGTATAATCATAAATGTATGTACACCACTATAAGTTGGCTTAAATTTTTCACTAGTTATCTTTCAGAACTGTTGAAAGAATGAATGAACAACAAGACAATTTTAAAAATTGTAAAAGACCGGTTACCATAATAAATGATTAGTATCTAAGAAAGTGTATAAAGAAAATATTTTTTAAAACTACCCGTACATAATATAATAACTGGTAATTATATCCTTGAGAATATTAAAACAATAAATTAAAAAGTAATAATTGGAACTTAAAAACAAAGTAAACAAAACATTGTTACCTTTACATAATATAAAAACTGGAAATTAAAGCCTTGAGAATATTAAAATAATGAATCAAAAAGTAATAATTTAATTGGAACTGAATAACAAAAAACAAAACAAAACAATGTTATCATTGGGTCCAGTTGCTCAGAAACACTATATTTAATTATAGATAAAATAGTTATCTTCCTTCTGTGATAAAAATAAAGAGATATCATTATTAATATTTTCTAAAAAAATTTCCAACATAAAAATAATTTAGCACCAAAAACTTCAAATACTTTCTGCATCTATTTGTTGCAATTATATTAAATTATGTTTGCAATTATAAAGAAAACTATAGACTGCAGAGAGAAATCTAATCTAGAAGAAATAAATTGTTTTTATACATGGCCACCATAGAAAGGGAACTTTGTTGTCAATATCCAATAAACTCTACTATTAGTCTAAAAAACTGAGTTATTTTGAATAAAGAACACAGTTGTGTGTCAATATAGATACATTTTTATGAGTACTGGCAGCATACCTGTTTAATTTTAAATGATAGCATCTAACTTTTCATTTAGATATTTACATCTTTAAAATATAATTTGGTGATGTCTTGTTTGTTTAAATTAAAAACTCAGAAAACATTTTTAATTTGAACTACTTCTTTATGGAAATTCAATTGAAAGTGTTTCATTTTTAGAGCTTAAATTATACTAAACAGTTTAAAAATGTGTTATACACTTGAAAACTAAAACATTTTTAAGTAAAAGATAAGTGATTACTACATACTTTTAGAAGTAGAAAATGTAAATAAAATTTGTAAATTATTTTGATTAAAAAAACACATGTTTGCTCCATTAACATTAGTTAATAGTTTTGCTCATTCATTTTTAAATTTTAGTCATTTTATTATATTAAAGGTCTATTTCTCCTACTCCAGAGAATCAATAGCATAAATAAAATAATACAAGAATCTACAACTAAATCTAAAGTGTTTTCATTTTACAGAGAAAGAATGTTACAAAAATTTCAAACAAATTTTTACTGCAGCAGTGTAGCTCTAATGTCTTCAGAATTTTGCTTATGTTTTATACATGTTGTACTAAAAAGTCTTTAAACTGCTCTTGAAAAACAGGTTCTGATAAACACCAAATATTGACCCATTCATCATAGGGAACATTAGCTAACTGCATAATTTTCCAGCGTTGTTGTAATCTTGTTACTGAATATTTAAATAATTCTGTATTACCTTTAATAAATTCATAACCTAACTTAGTTTCATTTAGAAAAAAGTCTAAAACTTCCTTTAGTTTTCTATTACTGATATGAGATAAACGATAAAGTGAAAGCAGCTGATCAGCTTCCTCTTTAGAGCAATTTAGTCTCAACTGTAGATACTCTGATCTACAGCTACAACCCTCTAATGCATCAAGCTCACCACACAAATACTTGTAGCCTGCATCAAAATCTTTACTATTACATCTCAAATAATAAAACAGATCATCTTTACATACCACAGGATTTTCAGTCAATAAACCTTTGTCTTTCAACAACAGCAATCTCCTATTGAGTTCCTGGTTTGAGCATCTGTCCAATGGCAGTGGATTATTTCTGATCATTGACAAAGTAAAATTGTAGGTCAACAACAAATCTACTTTTTCTTTGAGTAATGGTATAAACATGGTGTTTATAAAGGGGCATTTTGCTATCATGGTTTCAACATCATCCAGACTGCAATTAAATATTTGAGCAAGACGTTCAGATTTATTGCTACAGCCTTCTAATGCATCCATTTCTGCACACATTTTCTTGTAGCCTGCATCAAAATTTTTGCTATTACATACCAAATAATAAAACAGATCATCTTTACATACCACAGGATTTTCAGTCAATAAACCTTTGTCTTTCAACAACAGCAATCTCCTGTTGAGTTCCTGGTTTGAGCAGTGGTACAATGGCAGTGGATTATTTCTGATCATAGACAAAGTAAAATTGTAGGTCAACAACAAATCTACTTTTTCCTTGAGTAATGGTATAAACATGGTGTTTATAAAGGGGTATTTTACTATCATGGCTTCAACATCATCCAGACTGCAATTAAATATTTGAGCAAGACGTTCAGATTTACTGCTACAGCCTTCTAATGCATCAAGATCTGCACACATTTTCTTGTAGCCTACATCAAATGTTTTGCTATCATATCCCAAATAACAAAAAAGATCTTTACTTATCAAAGGATTTTCAGTCAATAAACATTTTTCTTTCAACAACAGCAATCTCCTGTTGAGTTCCTGGTTTGAGCATTTTTCCAATGGCAGTGGATTATTTCTGATCATAGACAAAGTAAAATTGTAGGTCAACAACAAATCTACTTTTTCCTTGAGTAATGGTATAAACATGGTGTTTATAAAGGGGTATTTTGCTATCATGGTTTCAACATCATCCAGACTGCAATTAAATATTTGAGCAAGACGTTCAGATTTATTGCTACAGCCTTCTAATGCATCCATTTCTGCACACATTTTCTTGTAGCCTGCATCAAAATTTTTGCTATTACATACCAAATAATAAAACAGATCATCTTTACATACCACAGGATTTTCAGTCAATAAACCTTTGTCTTTCAACAACAGCAATCTCCTGTTGAGTTCCTGGTTTGAGCAGTGGTACAATGGCAGTGGATTATTTCTGATCATAGACAAAGTAAAATTGTAGGTCAACAACAAATCTACTTTTTCCTTGAGTAATGGTATAAACATGGTGTTTATAAAGGGGTATTTTACTATCATGGCTTCAACATCATCCAGACTGCAATTAAATATTTGAGCAAGACGTTCAGATTTACTGCTACAGCCTTCTAATGCATCAAGATCTGCACACAAATTCTTGTAGCCTACGTCAAAACTTTTGCTATCACATCCCAAATAATAAAACAGATCATCTTTACATACCACAGGATTTTCAGTCAATAAACATTTTTCTTTCAACAACAGCAATCTCCTGGTAAGTTCTTTAAGTGAAAAGTGGTACAGTGGCCTTGGCTTATCCCTGATCAGAGGCAAAGGAAAATCATAGGACTTCAACAAATCTACTTTTTGCTGGAGAAGCGGCAAAGACATAGTTTTGATATCTGGGTGTTTCACTATGATAGAATTAAGATCTTCTAGACTACAATGGAATATATCAGCTAGTGAAAGAAAATGACATTTTGAATCTTGACTAGAATCAGACAAAATTGTAGTCTTAGATTTATTTTTAGTTCCAGATCGTATTGAAATAAATGATTTTTGGTTGACATTTATTTTACTTGCATTATTCCCACTCAGGCAAGAAGACCAGTGGTTGGAGCTGTTCAACAGCAATGTAGTGCGCTTTGAGCTGTTCAACAGCCATGTAAGAAACATTTTTACCACTTGTTGAGGCTTTTCAACACTGATTAAGTTTTGTTTGATAGCTCATAACAGTAGACCTGCAAATGAAGTAGAATTGAAATTGGTTTAGAGGGTTATCTCTCAATTGTTTAACTATTTTACCCCCCCCCCCCCTCTTCATAACCTAGTGATGACAGTGCTATATTTCTTAAAAACATGGTTATTTCCTTGAAGGTAGAGTAAATAAACTTTGTAAAGGCATTTCTTTGAGGCTCCAGAATTTTTTAAATACACACAATTGGACTTGCAATACAATTTAACTGTAACAATAACATCATAATGGACTGGATTAGACTTGATAAGACCCCAAGCTATTTGAGATATGGACAGAGGCGTACATAGGGAAGGGCAGGTGAAGCACCAGGTGGGTACTAAAAATATTAAAACAAAGTGTCATTTCCCAGTCAGCTGGGAATAGCCCCAATACAGCCAGTCCCAGGCGGTAGAGCTGTTTTGGGCGAATTAAGCATGGTAAAAATAAGAAAATATTTGTAAGTGGCTTAATATTGAATATACAACATTAAAATAAATACTGCTAAGGGCCAGTGACCAGTAAAAAATATTCTTTTTACCTGAAATACAATTATGAAGTGATAACCGCTTATCTGTAACGTAAGCCCTATGTATAGGCCACTAAAGGCACAATAACACTTTGTTCTTCAAAAAGCCCTAAAACAAATTGGGTGATTTGAAGAATATCTAGCCAAACTTTAAAAAAATGTAATGCTTTGTAAACTCTTAATTTATTTCTTTGTTTGATATTTTGTCTGGCCATCTAATTTTAAGTAAATGCCGTAAGCCAATAGGCCCGTAAATGGGGATGGATCGGACACATATTAAGAAAAGAAAAAGAAAACATTGCAAAACACGCTTTTGACTGGAATCCCCAGGGAAAAAGGAGGGTGGGCCGGCCAAGGAAGACATGGAGAAGAACAGTTGAAGAAGAGGCGAAAACAGCTGGGCTCACATGGGCACAGATAAAGGGAGCAGCCCAAAACCGAATCCGCTGGAGATGTGTGGTTGCAGCCCTTTGCTCCCCAGTGGCCACAAGACAAAGGAATGATGATGATGAAACTCTTCATTCTTTATTGTATTCAACCTTAACTGGCTCTTAGATTGGGTGCCCAAGTGAGGTTTGCAACAACTCTAGCAATCTATTCTAGATCTAGATCTAGAAGTAAATTAGTAGTATTGCATAATTGTATAGTTTGCTGGGATCTAGATCTCTAGATCTAGATCTAGATCTAACTAGTAACTAGTGATGTGATTTGACTTAAACTTACTTTAATAAATTTAATTGTAATAAAAAACTAATAATAATTTATTAATAGTGGGCATTGGGTTATTGCCCTTTAGGAGTGCACTAGATATAGATCTAAATCTTATAGAACTTATTCTTAACCTTTTTGGATGTACCGAACCCGGCCACTGCCGGCAAGTTTCATGTGCGAATTCACCGAACCCTTCATAATATAACAATAATTATAATAATATAGATCTAGATCGATCTATCAAGCATTAATTCTATCATTCTATTTTTATCGTACGCACTGACAAAATCTGATCGTAAATCGAACTCAGGTTAAGAACCACTGATCTAGAAAATCTATTTTTTAGAAACTTACGTAACATTGACTTCAATAATACTTTCATCAACGTCTGCGAAAATGCACGTCCACTTTAGTTATGTAATTAACTATTCTTAGAGACAACTTGGCACGTTTCAGAATTCAAATACTTTGAGTAAAGCCATCCATCATTTTTCTTTATTTTCGTCTTAATATTATGCAAATGATCATAAACAATCAAGAACTATTGTTTTTGTGAAGTGATTTACTTTTTGAGAAGTAAAATTATATAATAAAGATTATTTTTTAAAACATATTTTAAAATAGACGTGTTTGTTTCCGTAACAGTATATTTGGCAAGTCATTTAAATTGTTAGACCTTGGAGAACAAGATGTTCAAAGTTGCCAGATTTCGTAACAATAAACCATCAATGACTAAAAATGGACCAACAGTAAACCTAATATACAATATAACCAACTACAAATCTAGAAAGAAAGATAAATGTTGATGATAAAGTGATTTTTTTCTTAATCGATAACCATTGGGGGATCGTGAAACTGTTGAAATCTTCAAGAGATTACAAAGTTTTAACTAGTAGCTAGCTTTTCACAGACATGCCAGCTTCCAAGATATCCGGCGGGAAAATGCGTCCTCAGTAAATGAGTAAAGGAAATTATGAAGGGGGGGGGGGGGGGTATCCCAGAGGCGTAGCGACCCTTCCCGGCGCCCGGGGGGACAAACTTTTCGATTTGCACCCCCCCCCCTTCAAGATTTTGATTTGCACCACCCCCCCCCCCTCAAACTTTCGATTTGCACCCCCCCTTGAGATTTCCATTTGCACCCCTCCCCCTCAACCTTTCAATTTATTTTTCCAACCCATTTTGGCGCCCCCTAAGGTCGGCGCCCGGGGACATATGCCCCCCCCGCCCCCCCCCCCCCCCTCTACGCTACTGGGGTATCCATAAATGACGCCATGCTTTTTTTTACGACTTTTACCTCCCTCCTCCTCTCCGTCACACGTCATCACAAAAAGCCAGACCCCACCCCTAAAATGACGTCACACCTCAGCCTACAACCCGCCTCAAAATTGCAGTTGAATTTTTCTTAAAATACGATATTTTTCCGAAATCTTGTCTGAACTCTGTATTTTAATCAATTTCTATTACAATTTAGAACAGTTTTATAAAACGCGAAATAACGGCTTAAATTCGTTTTCCAACATTGCTGACCCCCCCCCCCCCCCCTTTCCCCCATATCACACACCGACACAAAATACAGTTGTAGGCCTAATATGATTTGGTTGCACGATCTATCAGGGCATATGTCTAGATTTAATTATTTTTAAACTTAAGTTTCATTTCTTTCAAATGTTTAAAGATTATCTTGAAATATGGTGAATTGTTTTAGAAAATTGCCTGGGTCAATGTCAACTTATTGTCAACAAGTCAACCCATCCCCCCTTCCGCTTGTAAATAAAAATAAAATGACGCCTTTTTTTTTTCTTATGATGGCGTGTACTGTTAGATCAACATCTCTGATACATTTAATCACCCGTTGATCTGGTGTTTTTTAAACACGAAAATTGTCGATTTAATTGGTACATTTTTTTTTTTTGCATTTTTTTTTTCATTTGTACGTAGGCCTATGTGATGTTAAATTCAAACGTGGACGTCCACATTGACCAGAACCACCCCCCCCCCCCCCTCCTCAGTCACACGCGTTCACAAAGTTTTTTTTTTACCCATCCCCCCTCTCGTGTGGACGTCATAAATGGATGACCCCTAAATAATACCCCGACGGCTACTCATCAATTTTTTTTTTCAGGCATCGGCCCGGATGACCTTATCTAAACCACCACCCTGCCCCTCGTTTTAGGCTTTGTGCACGATCCGATAGGATCTTATACATTCTTTATAATATAAAGAAATGTTATAAAGTATTTTTATTTCTTTAAATCATTAAAATTGTTCCCTTAAAATAATGTTATGTAGGCATACAGATTATTTTATTAATTTTTAACTAAAACTTAGAAACTATATTCTTAACTCAGGATAGATAACTCTAATAATTCTAATGAAATTAAACTAAGTTAATTCTCTTGCTTATTCCAAACCAGGTGTGTTTTGTGACATCAGAGAGAAATCTGAAATACAGTTCAAAATGCCGAAACCTAAACCTAGCGCCCCTAAAGACTTTATTGCTGGTGGTTTTGGAGGAGTATGCACTGTAATAGCTGGCCATCCCTTAGACACAATCAAGGTATGTTTTGTTAAATTAACTAAAATTTGTAGGACAATGCAACAGGCACAATATTTTTTAATTTTTCTCACTTTTCTCGACTAGTTCTGAGGTTTGTTGTGTCGAATGTTCGCCAGCTGACGAGAGTTGAACATTGGACTTTGACCCAAAACTAAAAGCAAATAGAGTCTAGAGATCTTAATCTAGATAGGGCCTATAGAATCTATCTAGATCTAGATCTATCAACTTGATTAAGCCATTAAGCTCTAAGCATTTCTAATCCAGGCTAAATCTATTATTTTAATCTAAATTTTAGAAAACTTATTTATTTTAATATTTAACTTAAGCCTTAAGCAGTTAGCTAGACCTGCTGGCTCAATTTCTCAAAATTCAAAATACATAAAAACAACTAGATCTAGTCTAGATCTAGATTTCTCTAAATTAAAAATTACTTAGGGCCCTATTAGTAATATTAGGCCTACTACAATTAGGCCTACTAAATGGACACCAGCGAGTTGACGAGATTCCTTCCGTAGTAATGTTGTTGACATGGAATAAAAATGTGCTTTTTTAGATTTAGGACCATAAAACTAATAAAAGATAAAATTTTATTAAAAACTTAAGCCTAAAATTAATTCAGAAATGTAGGCCCTAATATTTTTAGAATCAATGCTATACAAGTTGCAGATCCAGAGAACTTGAAAATAATTTGTTGAGTTTAAGGCTACATTTCTATTTTTTTTTTATCAAGCCTAAGTTATAACCTGATGTTTCACTTTCGTAAGACAAACATTGATTGGCTGTAAAGGAACTCCGTGATCGATTTCTGACAGCCCCACTTTATAGTTATTTTGTTTACAAAACTTTGCAGATCAAGTTTTTAAATAACTATGCAAATTTAAACACCATGACCTATTTTTTCTATTTTTAGCTTACAATGTGTACAATAAAATTTATGGCGGCCATTGTTTATGTCGCCATTACACATGAAAACCAAATTGTTTTTGGTTTTTTTTTTAATTTTTATTTAGTTACCGAAAATATTAAAAACATCAAATAGGCCTACATCCAATCTTTAGTAAAGTCCGAAAAAAACCAGACAGACAGGATTTTATAACCATATTAATTGTAACTACGCTGTGCAAGATTTTAAAATGAATTTATACACCTCTCAAATACCTTTGAGACTTTTCTCGCTGGTGTCCATTGACAATAACAATTTTTTTGTTGGGTCTACTAGATCTAGTAGATCTATCTAGATAATCTAGATTCTTGTAAATCTAGATCCAACTAATAAAAATTAAAGTGACTACTTGGAAGAAGATTTTTCTCCCCAACATCTCCACTTAGTCAGCAAAAGATAGCTCTGCGCATGCGCAGTGACCTATGGCTAGGGTTATGGCTACAATGAGGGTTAGGGATAGGATTAGGGTTGGTGTTAGGGTTCTGCGGTTGTAAACACACGCATGTGCAGTACCATCGAAAACATTGCCACGATGGCAAGTCGCAGTTTCTCTCCATTGCGCATGCGTCTTTTTTCGGCTAGCTTCGGCCAGGCAGATTCTAGCCGGAAAAAGATGTGCATAGCTCTACAATTACCTGGTTTTTCTTGTCATCTACATGTTTGCTGTTTAGTTAGGTATATGTGTTGTCTTGATGGTGCATGAATTAACATGATAATCATAAAGACTTAAAACTGAAATACTAGATTTAAATAGACTATTAAAATAGATTTAAAAAAAATATTTTATAGGCTACTTAACTTATACACTAGTACTCTTTCGTGTTAAAGTCTAGTTCTGTTTCTATTATTATTATGGCACTAGGCCTAGCTAGTTCTAGTAGCTAGGCCTACTAATAAAGATACCAATTAATTATCTTAACCCTTTGAGCCCTGGCCTCCCTGGCCTAGTTTCTCCCATTTCCTGAGCTCCCAGGGCCAAACCAATTTTCACTTCTCTGCTTCTAACTTTGCCTATAACTTTTATTATCCACACGCCAAGGAGACTGAAGTTTTACAGCACCACGTGCATCAGAACGTACTTGAACAGTTTCATTGTCTCTGTCAATTTCAATGCCACTGTGTTCAGTCTCAAATTCAACGTCACTATCATCACAATATAGGCATTCTACTTCTTTTGTTGATATTTCGGTCTTTTGGTTCATCTTTTGCACCAACTTTATGTGTTGAAGTTGATGGCTGTGGCTCAGCTTTTCGTTTCGGCGGCATTGATACGAAATGTAAACACTTTCACTTTTTCTAAAATCTATTTTTAGAATCATAATCCCGCACTAAAAAGACATATGCACAGTTTTAGTCAGTCTTCCGCTAATTATATTTAATTAGAGGATATACCGGCCGCTAGGAATATGACGCTAGATCGTCGGGCCGGAAAACCGGCTTTTCTGACATTTATGCCTAATGTTGAAGCCAGTTTACCGGCTTGGCGGGCTCAAAGGGTTAAGAATGAGACTCAAGAGATAGATGTAGTTATAGGAAATGATTTTAATTTAATTTTTTGCCTAAACTTTCCTAAACCACTATTTTTTCAATTTTGCATTGTTTTTCAAACCAGATAGTTTTCTTAATCATTATGATGATTATGTTTAATCTATTGGCCATACCCATAGGCCCTAATTAAAATAATACTAACATTACTTTAGGCAGGCCTACTAGATTCTAATACAATAATGTATATTATAAGCCGCCAGTGGGATTTCGCACTTTTGTCCTTCTGTCATTAGTGTAGCCACTTTGTCTTCGTTAATAGAGCTGTTGAAGTGTGGTGTTCTTCATGCATGTGGAGAAGTGAAATCTGGGCGGATGTCCATGAAAGCATTGGTTCATTTTCTTTTTAACGTAGCTTAATTTTTTTGAATATCCATATCCACACCAAAGTCCAGTGCCCTGAAGGAATATCCACACAGCCGTTTGCAATATCCACATCCACACCAATGCAACACAAACACGCAAGGGACATGGTGCCACCCCCACATTGCTGGTTAGGGGGAGAGGATTGTGCCATATTCTAAACAATAGCAGAGCACAGGATAAGCTAGTACATCAATATAGGCCTAGATCTAATACTTGGCCAACATAGTGAAATGTTTGTAGGCCTATATCCTATATTTAATGATTATCTAGGATACAGACATATTGTGGATTACCCAGACCCAACCCCACACCAACATATGACATAGTCTACATGTCAGTTGTCATGAGCCTCTACTTAATTAATATAGTGTACCTCTAAATACTCTAATCTACCCCTAGGTGTTTCAGAAGTGTTCTGATTATCAGCTTTCTTCATCCCTTTCTGTTCAGTTCACCAACATCTTTAGTACCCCTCCCAGTGTAAACCTGTCCATTCTATGATATCTAATTACATTCTATGATTCTATTAATAGAGTGCCTGTACAGTTCCTAGCAGTGGAAGTGAGAATTTAGGCATCAGTAACTGATTTTCTTTAAACTCTTATGTCTCTATTGGGGTGGTAGTGTGGGAAGTGCAAGAAAGCAAGCCGCATAAACCAGTCTCTGTGCTTTTGTCCATTTCAGTAATTTGTTAGACCAAAATTGGCTTGTTTATTTGAACAGCAGCTTTAGTTTAGGATTCTTTTGCATTTCATACAATTATTGAAGTTAAACAAATAATTATATATTTATGGGTTTTATTACATTAATATTTACCACCATCAGTCATTTTTTTAAAAATTTGAAATGTCTTGGAAATAATATTAGAAATAAAGAAGAATAATGACCACTCTTACTTAGTTCTATCAGGTAAAAAAAAAAAATTTATTGCTAATAGTTTAGAAAAATAACTTTCCCAAAAACTTTCTTTATAAGACCATCATGCTACACATTGTAACATACAATTATTTTGCTCTTTTGCTAGACAAATAGTGCATGGTAATTTTGCTCTGTTAGGGAGGTATTACTATAAAAATTGCCTTAACATACATAGCTGTTTATATTAAAAGAACTGTTAAGATTTTCAAAAAAGACATTGAGTAGTACATGCAGTAGTGTGTGTGTGCATGAAGACCAGTAACTGATATACTGCAGTTCATTTGAAGAGTAACTTCCATGTTTAAACAAAAATGTGTTCTTATCGTATTTTTTTTATTCCTCTTGTGTTGGTAAAAAAAATCATTTTCATAAACATTTTTTCTCATCTAAGATTGAATCATTTTTCATTCACTGTTGCATATGTTAGTGAAAACTTACACCTGATTTGATCTTAGGTGAGACTGCAAACAATGCCTAAACCAGCTCCTGGCCAGCCTCCTCTTTTCACTGGCACATTTGACTGTCTGATGAAAACTATAAAAAAAGAGGTAAGAAATCTTTTTGCTGTCTCTGTACAAACTTCCTTTCAAGTCACAACCTGTACCGTTAGCATGTGTAGTATAAGCGTATATTTTCTGGGTAACTGAAAGCTTTTAATGTGTGTAGTATTAAAATGAATATTTTAATTTAGAGATTCTGCACCCTTGTATAGTGTAAGATATACATTTATTTTTAGGGATTTTTCGGGCTTTACAAAGGTATGGCAGCACCCATAACAGGTGTTGCACCCATATTCGCAGTATGTTTTCTAGGATTTGGAATTGGGAAACGAATTCAACAAAAGCATGAAGGGGAAGAACTTACGTAAGTCATATTGTCTTGGAACAGCAATTATAATTAATTGTTATTAATATATAATTAATTTTTATACATTTTTTTTTGTATTTATAAAAAATTATCTATTTCAAAATGTTTTTAAACCAGTTACCCACAGCTATTTAAAGCTGGCATGCTGGCTGGTGTATTCACAACAGTGATAATGGCACCAGGAGAAAGGATAAAATGCTTACTACAGGTTACTCATGCTTGCTTATTTATGAGAAAAACTTTGCCTTATTTATATTTATTACAATATACATTTTTACTTCTGGATATTGTTTTATATTTTATTGAGTATAATTTTGTTTGGTGTAATTCTATATCAGTCATGAAAGAATATTTTTAAAAATACGTTTAGATTCAACAAGAAGCCAATGTGAAAGACAGAAAGTACAAGGGGCCGGTCGACTGCGCTAAAAAGATCTACAAAGAGGGAGGAATTAGAAGTGTATATAGGGGTTCAGTTGCCACTCTGTTGAGAGATGTTCCGGCCACAGGCATGTACTTCACCAGTTACGAGTGGCTGCAGCGAATACTCACTCCTGAGGGTCATGAGTAAGTGACTGAAACAGTTATGAACCTGGTTTTTTTTAGCGCAATTTCTATTCTGGAGAATTGCGATTATTAACTCGACATTTCTGGGAATGTCCGCAGCTTTAAGTCGTATCTCCTCCTCAACGAAGCAATATCGAGGACTAGTTCCAAAAGCAAAAATGTTAAGCAAGTTCCGAGGATGATTGTGGGCCAAAAAAATTCCCGGGTTCCCTTCCTGGATTTCCCGGAAAAGCCAAAAAACCTCGAAAAAAAGCAGTTTTTGGCCCATATCTTGGCAACCAGACCACTTAGCGACTTAAAACATTTACCAATCGATTCCTGTCATAATTTAGAACAATACTGCTGAAGAAAGTTTTCAAAAATTTCCTTTCGTTCGGTCACAAAAAATTAATTTCTTCTAATTTTTATTGGCTAAGATTACTAAGAATATGCAAATATTTCTACCACAAGCACAGCCGCTGAGGCAGTCGCTAGTGAGAGGTAACGTCACGCTGCCATTGGCCAGACTCGCGCAGATCTCGCGAGGGGCGGGGACTAGCTCTGAGAGAAACGAAAAGGGGTGCAAACATCTACGGGTGATTCGTTTGGTCACAAAAAATTAATTAAGGAATTTGCGCTTAAATTGTCACTAGACTTTTTATTAACTTGTTTTTAACTGGAGACGCTTTGTAAAGTATTTTTTGTTTGTTTACATCACATTCGAATAAAAATAATAAAATTTTGTATTGTTTAACAGTCGATCAGAAATAGGTATATGGAGGACTTTGTTTGCTGGAGGAATGGCTGGAATTTTTAACTGGTCAGTCGCTATCCCCGCTGATGTCTTAAAGTCCAGGCTTCAGACAGGTCAGAGACCTTTTGTATTACGCACATTGAAATTTTTGTTAACACTTTCTTTATAAAATTTTATCATTATGTAATTGTAAATTAATTGTTTTTGTGCAAATTTGTTACAAAATATTAACAAGATAAATTTTTTTTGGGAATTTAAAAAAAATTAATATAAAAGGTTAACACCAGGTTGCAGGCTGTAAAGAGTTTAGTTTTTACTGTTTTTTTTACTTTGTTTTAAGCACCCCATGGAACATACCCTAATGGTATCCGTGATGTTGTCAAGCACATCATGAAGGAGGAGGGTGTGAGGAGTTTTTACAAAGGATTTACACCTATTATGTTGAGGGCTTTCCCTGCTAATGCAGTAAGTTTGTGTTAATTTTATCATTAAAGTTTAAAATTGATATATTGGCTTAAAAGTGCTAATTGATCATTTTAAGTTATGTTTTCATACCAATAAGGTGATGTATTGTTCAATTAATTGCAAATTAATCCACGACCAATACTTATTTAGGTAGATAAAGTATATTTGCATTATGTTTTAAAACAACTGAATGTTTTGGTCAGGAATATTTAACAGTAATTCTCGGGGTAGTGAAGTAATGTAACCAACAGCTTATTATAAATCAAGTGTTCTTAATGTATTGATAATGGAATTCTTTAGGACTAGCAATAAGTTTTTACTTAATTTTTTAATTAAAACAATGTAATTAGGTTAAATTGATCATTTAAGTTGTTACAAAACTGGGTATTTACACATCGCATGAGGTTCTATACATTAGAAATTGGCAGCCATCCATTGATTTCTTTATCAATCTGCTAGTTGTATTCTGTGAAACATTAATTGGATTTGTTTTATAAAAAAAAGTTTATTTAGATGAAAAATACTGGATAGCTTTTTTGTTAAAAAGTCAAGGATTCCCAATGTTTATCATTACACACACAAATACACAAAACTATCAACTAAATTAAAAAGCCATTTTATGTAGTTGTTCTAAAAAAAAATGTTTTGGAAACACAGATAAATACAAAATTTAGTTCTGTCAGCTGTAATTTCAGCTCCCTGTTATTACATTCAATACCATTGTTAAATTTACATCCCCCATACTCTTGTCAATAACATCATCTTATGTTAAGTACATTAGTTTGGGGCCAACTCAGCTACTCATGTTAGTGTTAATAGCTTGGTTATAAATGAATAATTCAATTTCTATTGATTTTTCTTGACAGGTGATGTCTCATAATGTGACTTATTTCTATTTTTAGGCCTGTTTCCTGGGTTATGAAGCTTGCTTGAAGTTTTTGAATTGGGCTGCACCTAATTTATGAGACATGGACTAGTGGTTGGACATTAATATAGTTTATTTTTATAAGTTTGTATCAATGTCAACATGTTATGAAATCTATTTATAAGTCAACAGATTTAATTAAATCTGATATCATTTTTGATATCAACTGAATAGTTTGCTTTAACCAATATTTTTTTAAGTTATGTAATTAGTCATATACAACATTTTTTTACAATTCAACATTTGTCTTGAATTTGTATAAATGTGCAGTATTTTGCATTATACATCATTGCTTTCCATCATCGTTTTCGTGCCTTTGCAATGGTCCTGTGTGTTTGCAAAGCTCATTCAAGTTTTTTTCATTCCAAGACTGGTTAAGTGAGAGAGCTAATCATAAGTTATTATAGCCTTGTTATTTCTTCAGTTGTTGTATGAAGAAAATATACATTGTTTAGCATACTTTAATGTTATCTCACAAATTGTTTCATAAAACATTCACAAGAAGCTGTTGGCTGACCAACATTTTCATGTATATTTCAACAGCTATTACTATTTTGCTTCTCTTATATATATCATAGTGTGTGTAAATTCTTATTAAACAGAAGTGGACATTGTATTAACAATCATTTTACATTTTCATTATTTATATAGCCAACTTAATGTTTACAGTCAGTGCAAATACATTTTCTTATTCTTTAATGATTTTCAGGATATTTTTTAAAAATTTGCAATCAAAGTTGACCACTGATTGTCAGGAATTTTATTGGTTGCTAATAAACACACTGGCTTGTCATACCACAAATGTGTTGATTTAAATTGCTACTCAAACCAGACATAATAAAGATATTGACAAAAAAGCCCCTATTACATATTTTAATGCAGGTGTTTTTCTTGAAAATATTTTTTAGAAGTTGTGTAATTGAAAACCTGCTGAGGGCATATTTAAATTAGAATATAGTCATGTATGAGGGCAGGAAAGTCATCCAGGAAAGTCTGAAACAAAAGCTTCATGCAGTAATTTGAGTGCGGTAAGACAATTGAGCATTATTTAAAAGTAACACCAGTGGATATTGAAAATGTTTAGAACCATGGTTTAGCTAAATATTTTTGACTGGAACTTTCAAACTGAACTCATAATCTATGCATGTTTTAAATTGGCTTTACGAATTTGTTTTGTGCACATGCAATCTTCATAGCCAAACCAATAAAACTTTAGATGAAACAACTAACTGATAAACTGCATAATTCTTTTTTTTTTCCTTGGCTCTAACTCTAATTAACTATAGTTAAAGAAAAACAAATACTAGAATTAATAGAAATAATATTTAATGATTTATTTAATTCATTCTCAGCATCTACACTTGAACATAGAATAACTGTTGATAAAATAGAAAATTTTGCCTGAACAGTGAAATAATAAGTAGCCAATTCTTAAGTCAATATGGCATTTGTTTTGTGTCTTGTTTGAATTAAAATACATAAGAAACACCAGTATTTTTTAACAACATATATCTAGCGCAAGGTTATATGGGTGTAAATAATGTGTGGGCCTTTAAGTTATGTGCACATATAATAATAATAGTAGTCAGCGAGCCATATCAACTTCCTTAGATAATAAAAAATGAAATAAACCTTTCAATACAAGATATGTTTAATATGTGCTATATCTTAATAGTAATACTTTTACAATAAAATAAAAAGGTTTAAAATTAAATTTTAAAATAAATCTTCATTCATAGACATTTTACAGAGTTCCGACATCACACTAACTCACACCAGACAAATATAAAGAATGAAAGTCCGCAATAGGGACTCAAGCATGCGTACAATAGATGTAACAATGTATGATAAAACTTGAAATGAATAATGAATTGGTAGATGCATTTAGTTTTTATATAAAAGCAGATATACATCGAGCAGACAGCTTTCAATGTATCCCCCTTTAGAAGAAATTATTTAAATACTCACAAACATACCATAAAACTTAAACCGAATATTTAATACAAAATATCACCTCCACTTGAGGAGACTCAGATATTATACAATCTTCTTACAAACAAGCCTAATCAATTTTATAAGGTTTATAACTTTTAAAAACAAACCAATCACATAGAAGTACTGTATTATCACTTTGTAAGGTATCAAATAGCGCTAATTCACTTTTAAAAACCCCAAATGCTCAGATGGCATGAAGAATGTATACTTTCATACTAGACAGGCCTTATGGCAGATGAAGTAGAGTTCACCTATTTCTGTGACAAGGAAAAAATAACTAATTAAATAAAAAGAAAGGGAACAATATTTTTTCTAATCAAACAGGTTTAATAAAATAATTCCTTGCAGTCTTGATTCACATCAAAAGTATGTTTGCTTTTTTTTAAAAGAAGAGATATGTTGATAATGCAGTAGAAGAATTTGTGATACATTTTAATATTTTATTCTTACATAAACAATGTAGGGATTGGCCGTTCTGAAAATCCCAAAACCTAAAAAACAAATTTTAAATAAAAAGGTACTAATTTTCCAAGATATTACAGCCTCATTTGAAAATATGGATCATATAACTGATATAAAAACATTAAAACAAATATTCACTTTTACATTTGGTCTACATTCAAAAAATAAACTAATGTTAAACTGAAGCAGGCAAAGAAATAACTATTAAATTATCCCTGGGTCTAAAACGGCTATGTGTGCATTACAACAAAAATATAAAATTTTCTGAAACAATCTAGTAGTAAACAAGCGGGTTTCATTTATTCATAACAGCACTTTACTTGAGGTGTCTTCAACAGCAGCAGTGGCATTGGTAGGCTCCAGACCTGCTTGCAAGCAGAATCTGAACATGCTAGAATCCATGATCCAAAAAAAAATTAATAAAACAGCACCAAACCTATGAAATGAAGAAAAGTCTTAATTAGGCCTTATTTATAATAAAATTAATTACAAAATTTAGAAAAATAATTATTTTAAAGATCAATAAAAATTTAAATTAAGAACTACTGTCAATTTGTACTTTGTGGTATTTTATTTAATCCTAATGTCTATAAATAACTAGGTGAGGAGGAAATACAGTAATCCTGAAAAAAAGGTGGTGTTTTCAGACTAAGCATGTAAAATCGCAAATCGTATTTTCTACACACTTTGCTCAGGCATTATATAGGATAACATACAAACTTCATGGCAAACAAAATGTACGGTGATAGTGAAGAGAGGGTTTTTAAGAAAATGTGTATAAACAAAAGAAGAAATACTAAATAAGCAATGGTTGTTTAACAAGTTTCAATAAGTTAAAACATGACAAAAAATAATTTCTGCATGTAAGTGCATCCTTGAATTCCCTTGAGCACAACAAGCACTAGTATTTTTGCTTCCTTTGGACTGAATTTATTTTAGATTTTGTGAATACTAACATTAGAGTGCTGCAATAACTCTGAAGGTCTACAATTGTAAAATATTTGGACGAAATTAGCCCATTGTAAACGTCAATTCTCTAGTTCTAGACAGAGCATGAATTATGAATTAATTTGTCAGCACATTTCTAAGATGACAAGCTCCATGTTCAGCTGGTTCATTACATGCACACTAAATTTAACATAGACCTAAATTTTTAAAATTTGGACCTTGATCAGATGAAGCTAGTTAGCTAAGGACAACTACCCATCCAGGAGAAAAAACTCCAAAATCTAACAACTGCATTATTGCAAAATTCTACTAGGTTGGACAAAGACCATGAAAGCAAATCCAGGAAGAAAAGCAGACTGAGTCAAGCTGCCATATGGTACTATGTAATACTTAATGTCTTGAAGGAAGTTCCCTCCATTTATACAAATAAGAACATAGAAGTAGAATAAACAAATACTAGTAATTAATTATAGTTGAAAAATATTATATTTCAAAACTTATCTGGCAGAGGTTAATAAGCTATCTATTCTTCTCATATCTTCTTAGTTCTTTATTGTTCTGTTGGAAGGGATTTCCTCCAAACACAAATAAGAGTTATGTTAACATGTTATGCGCCATATCATATTGGGCATTGACTCATATCTCAGCCTGCTATTCTTTCTGGATTTGCTTCTATTCTGATTCAGCCAATTTAAAATTAAAAATTAACAATTTCTTATATTATTTGAATTAAAGAACCAATACAAGCATAATGTAATCATTTGAGACAATGTATGCATAAAACTTGACTCACCATAAACCTATAGTTAAGAAACTTGCTAACCAGGAATGTGTTAAAAATTTTTAAGGAACTCTTCAGCACTGATACGGGCCCGAGAGTTCACTGCCAATTTGAGAAAGTTGATTTCTTTGTCTATTTCCTCCATAAAGTGAATAATAAAATCCACTAATTTATGTTTGTACATCTGCTCAGTGTGGAAGTTTGTGATCAAAAAACTAATGTCGTAGCCCTGAAGAAAGGTTTTAAAAAAATTAGATAAAAAACAGGCCATAGTGAGGAACAAGACTTTAAAACAAAAGTTTGAAAAATAACGTCAAATAACAAGAAATAGTTTTTAAAAATTGTTTCGAGAAAACTTATACATCTTACATCTGTCTTAGTTGGGAAAAGAGATTTTGAAAAAACAATTGTCATTAAAAATCAAAACTGTTGCCTTGGGATATCAATTTAAATAAAAATGTGTTAAATACATTAAACTTGACTCTAAAATAGTGATAACTTGTTTTATAGTAAAAAAATTGTTGAAATGCTAACTCAAAAAATATTATTGCTTATGATTGAGTTATTTAAATGTTATCAAATTAGTTTAAATTAATGTAAACAATAAGTAATTATGTGCAATGAAAAGCTTAGTGAAATTTAGTCTTTCGTAGTAAAAACCTTTACTTTAAATATTTGATGTTTTAAAATTTATGAAAATTCTAAAAATATTGCTTAAAACTCTATTCAGAGATGGCTAAAAAAAGTTACAAAAATCTTACCTCCACTTGCTTTCTCCTCAAAATGGCAAAATTTTCTGCTCTCATCATCATAAATCTTGTGAATTTATGGCACAGAATTTTCTCTATTTCATCAGCCTAATAAATGACAACAAAGTGTACAGAAAATTTAAATAATTGTTTAACAAAATTATACACACTATATTAAATTGAGATTTGCACTTCTGAAATTTAAAACAAAAAAGAACTTTAATTTGAACCATTAAAAATCCTTGTCATAAACTAACAAGTACACAAAGCATGCTCATAAAAATATAATTACACCCTGGTAATAATAAAGAGCTAAAAGTACACAGGGAGGTTAACATACCTGTTTGATTGCTATACTGATTCGTAAAGAGTTGATGCTGCCCTCAATTAACACTCGCTCTCGCTCATTGCGACTAATGACAACTGGAGTTAAAAGTAATTCCTTATTGCTCCTAGATAAAAAAAACAACAACAGTAAAACAATTTTAAAAATGTAAAAAATTAGGTAATATATATTATTTTAATGCAAAAGGGATTTGGATTTTGACTAACTTGACTTCAACTTCTGGTTTGTTATGTCTTTCCACCATCTGGGAATCGAAATTTTGAAGACATATTGCTGCATTCAATGTTTCCTTTACTGCGTTCAAATATGGTTTCAACGTGGCTGCCTAAGAGAAAAAATTGTGATCACAATTGAGTGGTTTATCTTTTAAGAACAATTTAATAGAAAAATTGAAGCTTAATAAATATAACTGGAGGAGCCTACAGGAAGATAAACAGTATAAAATAAATGCATTAGAAAAAGGGAGAACAAATGTTATAGGGCCTAATTAAGAAATTAAATGTTATTACATTTAAGCACTAGCCAACTAGTAGGCCTACATTGTTAGGACCTGTATATTAATAATCCTAAAGCAAGGATATGCTAGTAGACTATATTCAAAATTATTCTATAGGGCCAACTAGAAAAACCAGCCCCTTTTGGGTATATGGCCTACTGAATAAAAAGTGGCTTGGCAATTTTAATTGGGACCTGGGTCCGATTAGTCACTTCCTAATTTATAGGCCCTAAGCCTAAGTCTGAGTTTTGAAAGATTAGATTAGTTAATAATTTGACTAACAGTACAGTAGCAAAGTAAAAGTTATTCATATAGATTTTAGTATAGGGCCTACTATGTATTAAGTAGTACTTAATTATTAACTTAATAGTAATACTTAGGCCTAGGCCTAATTAATACAAGAAATAATTAGTAGGCCTATGCATATCAATAAAAAATCTACTAGATCTAGGCTAACAAAAAAAATTTAAATAAAAAATTGGGCCAAACTTGTTATTTTTCTTTACGTTTCAAGCTAAATGTATTATCTAATAATCTAGATCTAGTATAGATTCTTGTTCTTTGTAACTGAAAGTTACTTTGTAACTTGGTAAGTTAGTAAACTTTTAGGCCTAAGAGAAGTGTTACTTTGTAACTTTAGGGCAATATAGCTTTAGTTTGTATTCTAAATAGATACCTAGATCTATATTCTAGATCTTAATTAGCTCTAAATCTAGTAATTTATTCTCGTCTAAGCTAAATTTTAGTTAAGTTTAAAAGTTTAAAGCTTAAGATAAGACTGATTTAAATTTTCTTTTTTTTTTTTTTTGATTTACTTTCCGGTTGTAAACCCGACAACCGCTAGTCATGTTACAGACCAGGTATAATATTGTCAAAATTAACAAGAACTGGATAACATAATTTAGAATACAAGCTGGTAAAAGACATACATAATAATAGATTTATTGGCAAGCAAACAAAAAGATAAATCGTATTAGTTTTAATACAAGAAAGACACCACCCACCATGATGATACACGGAAGGAGACACACTCATACCCGGAAGTTGCGTCACGTGGTTACCTCCCTTGGCTGTTTTGAGAGGAAAAAATTAAGCACGGGAAGTAACCGAAATATTTTGAAAGTAATTTTGGACGAAATAACGAGTTAAAAATGTTAATCAAATCAGACAAGCTGCAAGTTCACAACCAAATGCTACGGCTGCGTGTCAAAAATGCTCAGCTACCGAATGAAAACAAGCTAGCCAGTGAACTGCACATTAAATAAATAAACGAGTGGGAAAACGAGAAAATATAATGGAATCCAGAGCGAGGCAGTAGGGAAAAGGGTGTGGGGTGGACGGGGGCCAGTGTTTCTTCCAGACTTTTTTCTCCGGGGGGGCACTTGAAATTTTCGGGGGGGGCGGTAAACTTTCTTCGGGGGGGGCGGACACTGTTAAAAGTATATATTTTCTATATAAATTATATAAATTTCATTTCGTTCGGGGGGGCGGTAAAAATTTTTCGGGGGGGCTTCGCCCCCCCGAAGAGATGCCTGGAAGAAACTCTGACGGGGGCTGGAGGGGGTGACAATTTTAAAATCCCCCTTCCATCCGCCAAACATCGTCACAATACCCCCCCCCCCCTAAAATTACGTTACACCTCAGCCTTTACCACCCCTCAAAATTGCAGTTAATTTTTAACATATTTTTAAAAAAAAATATGGACTGAGCTCAGTATACCATGTGGAGTATTTTAATCATTTTCTCTTACAATTTATTATAACAGTTTTCCAAACACGAAATAACGGCAAAACTTCGTTCTCAATAATGTTACACGTAGAGACCCATCCTTTCACAAAGAACCAAACGTCTGTAAGTCATTATGTCTATGTACAATATTATATAGAGTACAAACACATCAAGGAGGCTACATACAACGTTTCATGTACATAAAATCTGGGTTGAACGAAAAAAAAATGGCAAAACCAATCCATAAACTTTAATTGGAGTATTTTATAGACAAAGCCTATAGTTGAAAAATTCAAATATGACTTTTTCTGCCTTTTGTAGTGTTTCATTCAGGTATGGGGTCATCCATAAATGACGCCACGCTTTTTTTTTGACGATTTTTACCTCCCCTCTCCCTAAAATGACGTCACACCTCAGCCTACAATTCCCCCTTAAAATTGTAGTTGAATTTTTCTTAAAACATCGATAGTTTTCCAAAATCTTGTCTAAACTCTGTCAAAATAGAGTATTTTAATCAATACTTATTGCAATTTATTAAAACAGTTTTCTAAAACGCGAAATAACGTCTAAAATTCGTTATCTAACATTGCTTTTTTATAATGATAAAGTGTGACGACGCACCACCTCGTCACACACCGTCACAAAATTACGGACCCCCCCTTCCCCCTGTGAGTGTGACGTCATTTATGGACGACCCCTATCTCAACGGAGCACGCCCATATCCCCACCCCTCCAAGTCCGAAAAAAATATTTATATAGAGAAAATATACTTTTACAATGTCATCCCCTTAAGAGAATAATGTGTGCAAGAAATCCCTGGTTCCAAATCACTACATTTCTTAATTTTCTTCCTACATTTCGGTTTATAACATCTTTACTTATTCGCCATCTAACTTTAGACCTCGCAAAACAAACAAAAAAATCACCTGCTTGAGGTCATTAATGCAGAGTTTGTTTCAGCCTTTATGTATATATATATATATATATATATATATATATATATATATATATATATATATATATATATATATATATATATATATATATATTTATATTTATATTTATATATATATATATTTATATATATATATATATATATATATATATATATATATATATATATATATATATATATATATATATATATATATATATATATATATTGACAAATAGCGGTTAATTTATTGCGGCCCCAGTGCACCGCGGATTGTTCAAAAATATTCATCAGACCTTTTTATATCTATTAATGACCAATTCAACCAGAGGCGTAGCGACCCTTCCCGGCGCCCGGGGACAAACTTTCGATTTGCACCCCCCCCCCCCCTTAGATCTTTTCATTTTGCCTCCCCCCCCCTCAAACTTACGATTTGCACACCCCCCCCCCCTCGAACTTTTCATTTGCATCCCCCCTCAAACTTTCAATTTGGCGCCCCCCTAAGGTCGGCGCCCGGGGACATATGTCCCCCCCCCCGCCCCCCCCCCTCGCTACGCCTCTGAATTCAACTACCAGAGCTGTAGCAACTAATTTATTTTATACCTTATGTATAACTCATGTCAAAATAAAAAGTTGTGAGACACCTTTGAGGACGTCCATAAAAATTATTTACAAACTATAAACCATGCTATTATTGATCTGTTGCTTCAGTTTTTGGGCACCGACGTGAGATTTGAGAAAACTCCGTACAAGATATTTAATACACTTCCTTGGTTTGATAAGTTGAGGCCTAAACAAAATTACCCCAAGCGGAAGGAAATCGAATATAAAATCCCCATTGGTATTAATTTAGTTATGACCTTCATCACACAAGATAAGAAGACTAGTAGACCGTGTTTGAAACACTTTAATTCTATTTGATCCTAGGCAAGGGTCAGTCTGTTTAAAATAAGGTTTGTAAAATTTATTAAAGAATTCGTTTTTTCTTGTAGTTTTTTTTTTCTTCAAAGATTAGGAAAACTGTGACGAACGTTGTAGCACATTTTAGATTAAATCGATCTGTTTGCTAGTTTTTTTTGTTGTTGACGCTCATGCTATATAATATATAACTAACAGTGGCATAGCCCCTGTCTGTCTTAATGTGTATTCACAAACTCGGATTTGAGTTTATATATTTGGGCTCTGATATTATTTTAAAAAGATTATAAAGTACACAACTTTCAACCGTGATAGGTTTGGATTTGTTCATTTTGAATTATTGTCATATAGTTTGGAAAAATTCATACAATTTTACAAATGTAATAATTGTTGTTTTTCTTCTTTCTCTCTATGGGATGGACAGCCCAATGAGGATCAAGGCGGTCATCCTGGTGAGCCTCCTGGCGGTGGTTAATTGTGGCGTTCTCACCGAGGAGGTCAGCAGGCTCGCCGCTTTTCAATCTGATTGGCCAGTAGGTGACCCCAGGCGATGTCAAGAGCAATCACTCTCCAGCCATCTCAAGGCAGATAGGTTTGAGGTACAGACTTTTAATTCTGAAATTAACTTTTTCTAAAAATATCACTGACCCAATATATCCAAACTTAGAACACCGAGATGACGATACATCCTGATGGCGTTACGATATTTTCCGCGTTAGGTGTCATCCATAAATGGATTGGACGATTTTTGCCTCCTCCTCCCCTCAGTCACACATAGTCAAAAAAAGCCTGACCCCCCCCCCTAAAATGACGTCATACCTCAGCCTACAACCCCCATCAAAATTGCAGTTGAATTTTTCTTATTTCAATCAATTCCAATTCCAATTGATTAAAACAGTTTTCTAAAACGCGAAATAACGGCTAAAATTAGATTTTTTTATAATGCAAACGTGTGACGTCATATCATCTGAACCCCCCCCCTCTTCATCATCACACACCGTCACATAATTACGGACCCCCCCCCCCTACTAGCAGTGCCGGCGCCAGGTTATTTAGCGCCCAAGGCAAAACTTATTAAAAGCGCCCCCCCCCCGCGTCTCAATTTTTTTCGAGCCCCCATATTATCAGAGGCGTAGCGATGATTTGCACCCCCCTCAAACTTTCGCTTTGGTTTTCCAACCCATTTTGGCGCCCTCCTACGGACAGCGCCTATAGGTAGCGCCGGCCCTGCCTACTAGTGTGACGTCATTTATGGACGAACCTTTAGCTCTAGATTTTAAAATGTTTAGTTAGTCTTAAAGCGTTTTTTTTCAAAGTAAATACACTGTAAAGAATATGACAACTGAGTTGCGAACATTTTAACATAGAAGCTGATATGTAATTCCAAGAAATTTGTAATTTCGCAAGCTTAGACCAACATTATTTTTGCTATACGTTTTACGATCTTATTTTCTAATTGACAAAAACCAATTGGAATAAAATATTTATGCTTTCTAACAATAGCAATGCTATTAGCATAGTCTACTGAAAGAAAATAGAAATACGCAGTTGCGCAAATGTAACGATTACGAAATATTCTAAATAATAACATTTATACTTTAAAAAAAACCTCCATTAATTATTATTATAAATAATTGGAAATAACTAGAACACCAACATTGATAATCCACATATCTGTAATGACCATTTGCGATGACTCACTTCGCTGTGAAGACATATTATTTATATTTAACTTGCTAGGTTGTTCTATGCTCCAGGAGTTAAACATCTCCACATATTTTTAACTACACCCCACAATATACCCTAACTCAGGGGCGTAGCGAGGGGGAGGGGGGACCACACCGGGTGACACCATTTAGAAGGTGACACGTAGGCAAAAAATAGCAAAATATATAGAGAAAAACTTGAAGGGGGGGTGCAAATCGAAAGTTTGAGGGGGGGGGGGGGGGGGGGGGGGGTGCAAATCGAAAACTTGACGAGGGGGGGGGGGTGCAAATTGAAAATTGATCTCCGGGAAGGGTCGCTACGCCTCTGGGGGTGACACCATTAAGTGCCGCACCGGGTGACACCCGACCTCGCTACGCCACTGCCCTAACTCTTACTTTTTGCTAGTAGTCATAAGCACCAGGAATTACACATCTCCACATATGTTCACCCACACCTCACACCATCTACACTGACTGGTTGTTCTATGCACCACGTATTACACATCCCCACATTTGCTATGAAACCTGACAACATCTACACAGCCTCTTGTATCTGTATGGTTATTCTATGCTCCAGGTACTGCCTGGCATAGGCTGGGACAATCTCCGGAACCTGGAGGCAGGGATGGTCGTGACCTACAACTTCAGCAAGTGTAAAGGCACGGACGACGGTCAGTTTCTCATCCCCGATGACGTCTTCACTGTCCCTATCAAGGTAGATCTAGAGATTTGTTGCACTTTTACTACACCGTCCCTATCAAGGTAGATCTAGAGATTTGTTACACTTTTACTACACCGTCCCTATTAAGGTAGATCTAGAGATTTGTTACACTTTTACTACACCGTCCCTATTAAGGTAGTACCGAGATTTGTTACACTTTTACTACACCGTCCCTATTAAGGTAGATCTAGAGATTTGTTACACTTTTACTACACCGTCCCTATTAAGGTAGGTCAGAGATTTGTTACACTTTTACTACACCGTCCCTATTAAGGTAGATCAGAGATTTGTTACACTTTTACTACATCGTCCCTATTAAGGTAGGTCTAGAGATTTGTTACACTTTTACTACACCGCCCCTATTAAGGTAGATCAGAGATTTGTTACACTTTTACTACATCGTCCCTATTAAGGTAGGTCTAGAGATTTGTTACACTTTTACTACACCGTCCCTATTAAGGTAGATCAGAGATTTGGTACACTTTTACTCGTTTAATCGCATTGTTTTCATATTTGTGTTTCTCGTTTTAAGCAAGACTAGGGAAAAAACGTTTAACAATTAAAATTGGAATTTCGACCCACACTCCCATTTTATATACTTCGTATCTAACGCTGATAAAAAAGAATTTAATCGTTAGTCAAATAAAAAAAAAAAAAAAAAAAGTATAATAAATCCACCAAAATCCATAATAGAAAACATTTAAATTTACTTCCTCTATCTCATGAGGCGTCTGGTTTGAAATAGTAATTCACTTTATATAACTAATACTTTATAATTGTTTGGGGTCGTCCATAAATGACATCACACGTGTAGGGGGAGGGATGAGGTCGTAATTTTGTGACGGTGTGTGATAAGGGGAGGGGGTTCAGATTGTGTGACGTCACATTTTTGCATTGTAAAAAAAGCTATGTTAGTAAAGGAATTTTAGACGTTATTTCGCGTTTTAGGAAACTGTTTTAATAAATTATAATAGAAATTGATTAAAATACTCTGTTGACAGAGTTCAGACTAAAATATCGATGTTTTGAGAAAAATTCAAATGCAATTTTGAGGGGGGGGGTGTTTTAGGCTGAGGGGGGGGGTGTCTGGCTTTTTGTGACAATGTGTGACGAAGGGGATGGGTGAGGTAGGTAGAAATCGTCACAAAAAAGTGTTACGTCATTTATGGATGCCCCCTTTAGTTTTGTTTACAACGAGAAAACACAATATGCTAGTCTCATTTTCACAATTTTAATGTAAGGCTCAACCAAAAGTACACCTCACACTTTATCTACAAAACAAAACTCGATTGGCAAAAACAAAATGAAATGCAAAACAAAACTCGATTGGCCAAAAAAAAATTGGTTGGCCAATTTAATTATATAATGCACTTAAAGAAAAAAAAACAAGTTCACCGTCGACTTAATTAAATATTCTATTTCTTTTGTTTACACAAGGCTCTAGTGATTTAGTTTCCTGGTGCTTCATTAGGTGCGCACTAGCGAACAAAAAATGCACATTGCTCTGTCATTTCTGGTTGTAAAAACAAAACACCAACAACACAAACGTATTCAGATATGTTTTAGTGTTAAACTTATTGTAGGCAGAGTATTTAGGCCGGCTCAGTGAACTGTCCATCAATCGTCACACTTGCTGCATGTGATTTCTGTAATAGTTTGGGGGAAAGGGGGGGGGGGGGGTATGGGTGGGTTTGAATTAAAACGTTGCAGGATAATCAAATTTTATATAAAAAATTACTTAATCGACCCCTATCCCACCCCTACCGCAGCCTTTTGAGTATTATTATTTAGGATTTGCCACAATTTGTTTTGTTAATACGTACTATTCTAGTATTACTAGTTACAGTTTTAACGCGCTGACCCCTATTACATAACAACGGTAACCTATTCATAAAACCTTTATTTGTAATGATAACGCAATTAGTGTTACACATTTAACACATTTGTAATGATAACGCAATTAGTGTTACACATTTAACGCATTTGTAATGATAACGCAATTAGTGTTACACATTTAACACATTTGTAATGATAACGCAATTAGTGTTACACATTTAACACATTTGTAACGATAACGCAATTAGTGTTACACATTTAACACATTTGTAATGATAACGCAATTAGTGTTACACATTTAACACATTTGTAATGATAACGCAATTAGTGTTACACATTTAACACATTTGTAATGATAACACAATTAGTGTTACACATTGAACACATTTGTAATGATAACGCAATTAGTGTTACACATTGAACACATTTGTAATGATAACGCAATTAGTGTTACACATTGAACACATTTGTAATGATAACGCAATTAGTGTTACACATTGAACACATTTGTAATGATAACGCAATTAGTGTTACACATTGAACACATTTGTAATGATAACGCAATTAGTGTTACACATTTAACACATTTGTAATGATAACGCAATTAGTGTTACACATCTAACACATTTGTAATAATAACGCAATTAGTGTTACACATGTAACACATTTGTAATGATAACGCAATTAGTGTTACACATTGAACACATTTGTAATGATAACGCAATTAGTGTTACACATTGAACACATTTGTAATGATAACGCAATTAGTGTTACACATTGAACACATTTGTAATGATAACGCAATTAGTGTTACACATTTAACACATTTGTAATGATAACGCAATTAGTGTTACACATCTAACACATTTGTAATAATAACGCAATTAGTGTTACACATGTAACACATTTGTAATGATAACGCAATTAGTGTTACACATTTAACACATTTGTAATGATAACGCAATTAGTGTTACACATTTAACACATTTGTAATGATAACGCAATTAGTGTTACACATCTAACAGATTTGTAATAATAACGCAATTAGTGTTACACATGTAACACATTTGTAATGATAACGCAATTAGTGTTACACATTTAACACATTTGTAATGATAACGCAATTAGTGGTACACATTTAACACATTTGTAATGATAACGCAATTAGTGTTACACATTTAACACTCCCTCCCCACCCCCTTACAGTACAGTAGAGTGGAGACGTTCGCTGAGATCATCGACAGCTGGCACTCCTCCAAGTCCCTGACCTCCAACACCGTCAACATCCAGGCCGGGTTCAGCTTTGGCGGGGTCTCGGTGAGTGGCAAGTTCTCCTACGAGCATGAGAACATCAAGTCCACCCAGATAGAGGACAAGGCGGTCACCGTCAGGGTGCAACTCAGATACCACAGGCTAGTTACATTTTATAACATACGAGCCGACCCGCGGCGTATCATGTGCCGCTATTTAGCTGTTTTATTTTCTACTTTTCAGTAATTCATAATTTATGAATTCGATAGTACCAATGCTGCCACTGAAAATATTTGCTTTAAAACACTAACCCCCCCCCCTTTCCCCCAACCCCTACCCTACACCCTCCCCCGGTGAAAGCAGCCTCCTCTTAGTTACCTCCTGTAAGTTTAAAATAGTTTCAAACTAAATTATCTGCCACTAATAGCCGTCAGTAAACCCGGCTCTACGATTTGTAAACATTAAGAGTGAACCACCGCTCACCAGACCATGAGGGGACTGCAAAGGCGCGCTTGCATCTTGTTTTTTAACGTCTCCCAGAAGAGAATTATATATAGAGATAGTTTCTTATTTTCTATTTTCAGCCTGCTTTTCTTTTTGATTTGCTTCTATAGTCTTTGTCCAACAAGAAAAAAACTACAAGGCAGGAGTTGTTTGATTTTGGAGTTGTCTCTCTTAGAAGAGTGGCTGTCCTCAGCTTTCAAGCCTTATCTACCAGGGCATTTCTTCTTAATTTTTTAAATACCTTTGTCTCTCACAAATCAGTTTTCTCTGCTGTGATTTATTTAAAGAAAACATCCCTTTTATGTTTGCAGACAACCTCCTAAAAGTATTTTTGTAGAAGAAAATTTTATTTCTACAAATTAAATTTTCTTCGTTAAAATCTTCAAATTCTTACCAAAACAGTGACACTGTAAAATAGTTATATATATATATATATATATATATATATATATATATATATATATATATATATATATATATATATATATATATATATATATATATATATATAATGTTGAAACAGGTACGAAGTCAAGCTACAACCAGATCCTGTACTGAGTCCACAGTTCAAAAGCCGGCTGTTAAACATCGCAACTTATCTGGGGTTAAACCAAACCCAACAGGCCAGATACGAGGGACAACTCTTGGTTCGAGATTTCGGTAAACAAAAATGGAACTACAGCTGTCCTGTTAGTTCTAAACCGGGGCTTGTAGGAATTACACAGGGAACTAAATCACACCATGGTAGGGTTGGGGGGGGGGTGTAACTCAATAACAATGTAAGGAGATTTCTCATTTGCGTTTTTTTCCCCATAATTCTACCCCCCCCCCCCGCCCACCACCCTTCCCCACTTTATCAAGTTGTCAAACACTTTTGTTTATATATCTTTCAGACATTTCGTATCTCTTGTTCCAGATTTAGTTTTTAATTTTCCAACAGGGTAGTTTTTAATTCCCTGTGAAAATCACGTAACGCTAGTTAGATAATATATTAATCCCTTTAGTAATAAGGTTATTTATAGAGTTATTTTTGACGACTTTTCCCCAAATGTTACCCTCAGCCGTACTTTTTATTAAAACATATAACATAATTCACATTACTAATAATCTTTACCATATACAATTTCATTTACCCTTTGAAGTTACCACCTACACGAATACACGAGTTTTACTTATTAACTAAAGTATTCATACATTTCTATAGTTAGGATTCATCTTTCTTATCACTAATATCACATCCTTCAGACATCCAAGTTCATTTTTCCTCAAATGATCTGTCTTATCTTATCTGGGTATGGTATAAATTATGCTAATGAACATGGATAAATTATGCTAATGGACCCCCAGGGACTCACGTGATCACCAGTGTCACGGCCGGGGCTGGCCTGGTCAAGGACGATTACTTAAGCAGACATTACGCAACCTCTGAGACTACCAGCAAAACGTCCATTCTCGTGTCTGCCAGTGCCTCGTTTCTAGGAATTTTCAAGTTCAGCGCTGCTTATGGGTAGGTCAAACCGTGTGGCGGATTAAATGCTGGGGTTGAGTAGGCAGTAGCCAAGGGCCCTCATTCATTTCCCCCCCCCCCCATAAATGATAAAAAATAATAACAACTTATTTAATTAACTGAGTGTTTTTAACTAGCATAGTCAAACAAAAAATGTCTGTCCTATGAGGAGGATCGGCTTTAAAGTGTGCGATAATGTATTCCATATTTGGACAAGTCTAGATATTCGATTGAACAATTGTAAAGTTAAAAAAAAGTAAAATAAAGAATCCTCTTAAGACCTAGCTATCAACTGGGCAATTTGCCCAGCCGCCTTTACTTTCCCTAACGTGAGTTAGGTACCCATTAGAGCTGGATGGACACATGGACGTTCTACTGACTTGGATCCGTATTCGAACTCTTTCGGGCCCTAACAAGTGGATTCACTCAAAATAAACTTTAATAAACGCAACCGTTACCTATGTTCAAAAAACATAAGCAGCCATATTTGAGTTATTTACTGTGAATTCCTTAGTATGAATATAATATCAAAGATACGAAACTCACATTTGATTGTTAAGTGTACTATAAAATGATATGTTTCCTGAGTGAAACAGTAATAGAAATAAACTCATCGAATGGCAGTTTATAAATTAATGCTAATAAGTTGCATGTTGTTGTTTAAACTGTGTATGTTTTACGGTGTTGTGAGTTTCGAGATAATGTTACACAATATCTGTTGATTGTTTTGTTCCGTCATATCTATACGTCAACTTTTTTATTCATTAAAGACACACCAGCCAACAGACAGACACAAGCGCTTACCTCAACCAGGTCACTCACTCTTACATTCAGACGTTCGGTGGACCGAACTTCCGGTCAAACATGACCGTGGACGAGTGGGCCCTGGAAGTGGACAACAACCTGGTCCCCATGGACAGGACGGGAGACCCTCTGTATTTCTTTATCACCACACAGACGCTGCCAGAGTTACCGCCTATAACTGTCGCGGAAGTTGAAAATGTGAGCACCCTTTCCCGTTCACATACTCTCTTTACGTATAGATTAAAGTTCTTTTTTTCAATAGGGCAACTGAATGAGAGTTCACCTGTTTCTATGACCTCAGCATATGAAGGAATAGTATGGTCAGCATTATGCCCCGCCGTCTTTACTTTCCCTAACGTTGGTCAGGTACTCATCAAAGCAGTGTGACTGAACCCGGATTCGAACACAATCTTTTGGGTTTAGCAGTCGCATGCTCTACCATTCGACCACCCCGTCCCAGACATATTCTTTAATTGTAAATACAAATATCAATGAAAGAAATTGTTATTTGACACAAATATTTAAATGGGGACGGTGGGGTCTAATGGCAGATCTTTCGACTGCTAATCCGAAAGTCTAGATTTCGGATTTCAGGCTCGATTTTGTAAGACGCCTTAGATTCCAGCCAACCCTGATGTGTATCTGACTTTCAGTAGAGAAACATAGGCAAATGGTCGTAGTGCTCCATGTGTGCCGAGGTAATTGAAAAATGATGAACACTACTTCATCTGCCCCATGTGCTTTGGCCACGAACTTTTGATACTTTTACTTTTTACGTTAGCTACACCAAATGATGTTCTCACATTAAATTCTCATCTATCACAGCTGGTGAAAGAGTCAATCGAGACGTACTATGAGATGAACACCATACGAGGCTGTACAAAACTCGATGCTCCAAACTTTAGTTTCTCAGCTAACTTTGACGACGGCTCGTGTCATTCACAGGCTACTAATCTTACGTTTGGTGGTACGTTTTTGTGATATAAATAATGATATTGATAAATATAAACATATATCTCCTATAATACATCTTATATATAGGCCTACATCTTTATACATCTTATATATATATATATATATATATATATATATATATATATATATATATATATATATATATATATATATATATATATATATATACACACACACACACCTATCCTTACGCGTAAGTTTTGTCGATGCAGGTGTCTTTCAAACATGTCAGGTCTCGGGCACGTTTCTCCATACCGACCCATGCCATAACCTTAACCAAGTTAACCCCCGGGCTGGGGGCTACTCATGCCCACCCTCGTACACACCAGTGCCGCTTCTGACTGTTTCCGGATCGCCAAATGTGGAGTCGAGGCGTGTTTGTCACCGGTAGGCACACCAGTTATTTTGTGCAGGGTTCAATTTAAACACGTCGCTGATCGTAGATTTTTCTTTCTTTGACTCCAATTCCAAACCCAGTTTTTGATTTCTTCAGTCGCGAAATAAATACAATTATAATTCAAACTGTTCAAACAATATGAAGTGTTTATACAATTTTTGACAATTTTTTCTCCCATTGTGTCGGTCTATTAACTAAACTTTAATTATTTACATTTAATTATGGCATCATCTATTTAAATTTAAAAAAAAAAGCAGAAAAATATTAATGTTAATAATGTTATCTTTGGCTATACGTGTGGGGTAACATTTTGGTAAGAAAAATAAACTTAGGATTTGCATGAAAATCGCCATTTAGTTCCATAATTGTTGAGAATTTTCACACAGTGTACTAATAAAATCCTATGCTAACAGGAAGAAAATAATGTATTCTTTTAAAAAACAAACTAATGAAGCAATAACATAAAGTCTGCATTAAAAAAATCTTCCAAAGTTATACTAAAACAACTTAAATAATAAACTAAACTTTAATACAGATAGTTTATATTTGTTTATGTTTTACAACTGTCCAGCTGTTGGCTGTTCAGATAGTTTATATTTGTTCATGTTTTACAACTGTCCAGCTGTTGGCTGTTCTTCCACTGTTGCCACACCGAGCAGGTCGTCTCGTCCTCCACCTACTCCAGTTACTGGTGTGCGGCTACAGGCCCAGTTGAGAGAGACTCGGGCTATCTGTTTGGTGGTTTTTACACGGGCGGCGGCAAAAACCCCATCACGGATACGGTGGTAAGCGGTGCTATATGTGAGTGGTGTTTTGTGAAGTGGTCACCGTTTTGTGAAGTGGTCAGTGTTTTGTGAAGTGGTCAGTGTTTTGTGGAGTGGTCAAAGTTTTATGAAGTGGTCAGCATTTTGTAGGAGGGGTCAGCATTTTGTAAGTGTGATCAGTATTTGTGGAAATCATTATTTTGTTTGAGTGCTAAGTAATTCGTTTAGTGGTCAGTACCTTGTGTAACTGATCGGTATTTGGCGCATGTTGTCAGTCTTACTATATTTTCAGGCTGCTCTAGGGGGTCATCCATTTATGACGTCCACAAATTTTTGGGATTTTGGAGACCCCCCCCCGTCTACAAAAGTGCACTAAATTCCCTTTTAAAAGTCATAAATGGATGACTCCTAGTTGCTTCTACCCTCTCTTATACTTTCAGGGCTGTCCCTAGGCTTCTATTCTCTATACTCTCTTATATTTTCAGGGCTGTCCCACTGGCTTCTATTCTCTATACTCTCTTATACTTTCAGGGTTGTCCCTAGGCTTCTATTCTCTATACTCTCTTATACTTTCAAGGTTGTCCCTATGCTTCTATTCTCTATACTCTCTTATATTTTCAGGGTTGTCCCTATGCTTCTATTCTCTATACTCTCTTATACTTTCAGGGTTGTCCCTAGGCTTCTATTCTCTATACTCTCTTATACTTTCAAGGTTGTCCCTATGCTTCTATTCTCTATACTCTCTTATATTTTCAGGGTTGTCCCTAGGCTTCTATTCTCTATACTCTCTTATATTTTCAGGGTTGTTCCTAGGCTTCTATTCTCTATACTCTCTTATACTTTCAAGGTTGTCCCTAGGCTTCTATTCTCTATACTCTCTTATACTTTCAGAGTTGTCCCGAGGCTTCTATTCTCTACCCTCTCTTATATTTACAGGGTTGTCCCTAAGCTTCTATTCTCTATACTCTCTTATACTTTCAAGGTTGTCCCTAGGCTTCTATTCTCTATACTCTCTTATACTTTCAAGGTTGTCCCTAGGCTTCTATTCTCTATACTCTCTTATACTTTCAGAGTTGTCCCGAGGCTTTTATTCTCTACCCTCTCTTATATTTTCAGGGCTGCCCCACTGGCTTCTACCCACTCCACATACTACGAGACACCACACTGTGTCTCAGCGATGACTACGAAACTGAGATGCAGTTCTCTGTTCCGTTTGGTGGTTTCTTCACTTGCCGCTCAGGTGGGATAGTTGTGGAATAATTAGGAGGGAAAGTCTTGGACATTTCTTATTTACAAGACAGAAACATCTTGTTTGTTTGCTCAAGGAGAGGTGGAAAGGAGGGGGGGGGGGGTGGACGTTGGATTTTAAATTCTACTTGTTTAATTAATGAAGACAACCTTGGGCGTATTTTAATGTGTCAATTCATTTTAAATATCGACCTCATTATCATCTTCATTCCTATGGAACCCTTGTGAAGCATTGGAACTCAACCACACCTCTTCATCGTACTCGTTTTTTTTGGGGCTATTACTCCAAGTTGGGTCCACGACATTCCGGCTGCTTATGCATATCTTACAGAAGACCTTCCACAAGTTGACTTAAAACCTACATGCTAATGCTGTTTTAGTTATTACTCTTTAAGATTTTAATTTTCCGAATTTTCCTTCCAGGAAACCCACTAGCACTCGACAGCTCTAGACCAGTTGGTGCCAAGCTGAAGGCATCGCCACCGAACTCTCTGAAATCTTTCTTCTCCCAGAACGGAGGATCAGCCTCTGCTCCACAAAAATGTCCCATAGGCTACAGTCAGCACCTGCTTACTGTTGAGGATGTAAAGAAATTTTCAAGAGATTTTTTTTAATTTAAAAATTATATAGATCTACTGTCGTTGTATAGAAAGCGATCGTTCACATGTGGTAAAACACAAAGCGGGTGAGGGGAGGGGGTTGATTAAGAGGGGAGGAATAGAAGAATTGCTTTATTGCAGAGTATTCAATTATTTTTGCTAATTCTGCTTTGCAAACTTGCTAATATTTACAATTGTTTAATAATTAATTTCTCAAATAAGGTTTTATAACGATCGATTTCCTGACTAAAATATCATTAAAATATGGTTAAACTATTCTAATTTGAAAATAATATAAAATAGCATTTTGAATTAAATATTAAGTTAGTTTATGGGTGCAGTGCTGTTTATAAAAAAAATTATTTAATATTTTAAATAGCAAGTTTACTTTCTGTTCTTAACAACCATTTTTAGTTAGGCCCAAACAAAACCCATATTTCGAATCATTCAACTTTTTTAAATACTTCAGGGCTGCTCCGTTTACTACTGCATACAGACGGGTTTGCTAGCTGGGCCTAACCTACCACCCGTGAAGAGACCACCTTTTATGAAGAAACCACCAATCATTGTGGACCAGGACAATATGTTTATGTTCGACCCTGCTACACAGGTGAGTTACCTGATGGGGGGGGGGGGGGGGAGCGACATACCTTTACAACGCGGAGTTACACAACACACACATCAAACCCGAGTACAGCTCTGACACTTGTCCATGTGGTTTTCATATTTCTTTTGATTGTTATAAACATGAACATAAAACAACACCATACCTACTACATACTGTATACAGCAGCATCACAACTATGTTCTGCACTCCAAAAAAACATCATAACAACGTTCTGCATACCCCCTCTATGTTCTGCACACACACAAAAAAACATCACAACTATGTTCTGCACACATACACAACAACATCCCTACTGAAATCTGAACACGTACACAAAAGCACCAGTATTCTTAAAAAACAATTACAGCATCACTGTATTCTGCACACAAACACAACAGCTCCCCACTCCAGCACAACATGATCTCCCACGTCCTACCAAACACCAACATGCATTCAACTATAGCACGTCCTGTGCTAAAAGTTATCCGTTGTACCTGACAGTATATTTGTATATAGAAGGTTGTTTGTTGCTTATTAGATTATAAGCCAAATTTTGAAATCTCCATTTTAAATTTTTATTTATAGTAAATAATAGTAAGTTTTCAAAACACGTCTAAAAATGTTTACATAAAATTTTTTAATTATTATGGGATAACAGAATAATTTTAGAAAAAAAAAACGTTATTAATTTTGTCAGACTTGGATGAAAGATGAAAAAGCAAAAGAATTCCAGAGGTCGCTGCAGGTGAAAGAAACCGTTTTTCAAGAGTCGTCAACGGTCTCATATCGTGAGAGTGTGTCACCAGGTGTTACTGCAGGTTAGTTACCTACTTGTCGGATCCGCCTCAGTTGTTGAAAAAACTCGTTAGCTTGTCAACAACTCAATTTTAAAGTCAGCACAGGTTTTTCCCATTTATGTAAGCCCTATATTTCATTAATTTACACTATTTTTTTAAGAAATTAAAATATTAAATATTTGAAGCTGATTTGTGAAAAAAAGTTTTCGAATTATTCTTAATCAATCAATCTAAAGCTTTATAAATTTACCTCAAATTATCAGAACTCGAATTTCGGGAAGGGAAGTAATACAAATTTGGGATCGTGATTCTTGTGTCTGGTATTATTGTCCTTGGAAAAAATGGTTTTTCTTTTTTCTTAAACTAAATAGTCACAGAAACTGATCAAATAAAAAAAAACAAGTTAATAAAAAGTCTAGTGACAATTTAAGCGCAATTTCCTTATGTTATCCATAACAATTTTAAATCGAGATAAATCATATATTCAGCAAATAAATAATGCAACACAAGTAGTTTCAATAATTCAAAACAAAATAGAAAAAATCCTTTCGAACCTCCTCTCATTCGCTATGGTAAAATCCTTTCGAACCTCAGCGCTTTGCGCTAAATCATCCTAGGCCTACAGGACGCTCAGTTTAAAAATTCTTAATTAATTTTCTGTGGCCGAACAAAAGGATATTTTTGAAAACTTTCTTCGGCAATATTGTTTTAAATTATGGTAGGAATCGATTGGTAAATGTTTCAAGTCGCTAAGTGGTCTGGTTGCCGAGATATGGGCCAAAAACTGCATTTTTTCGAGTTTTTTTTGGCTTTTCCGGGAAATCCAGGAAGGAATTCCGGGAATTTTTTTGGCCTATGTTCATCCTCGGAACTTGCTTAACATATTTGCTTTGGAACTAGTCCTCGATATTGCTTCGTTGAGGAGGAGATACGACTTAAAGCTGCGGACACACATCCATACATCCATTTCCAGAAATGACGAGTTAATAAACGCAATTCTCCAGAATGGAAATTGCGCTAAAAAATTGCATTAAAATGTTTAATAACAAGGTTTTATGTAATGATGCACTAAAAATGAGAAGGGGTCATCCATAAATGACGTCACACTCGTAGGGGGGAGGGGGGGGTCCGTAATTTTGTGACGATGTGTGATGAGGGGGAGGGGGGGGTTTCAGATGTTGCGACGTCACATTTTTACATTATAAAAAAGCAATGTTAGAAAACGAATTTTAGACGTTATTTCGCGTTTTAGATAACTGTTTTAATAAATTGTAACGAGCCGACCCGCGGCATATCATACGCCGCTATTTAGTTGTTGTTTTTTCTACTTTTCAGTTATTCATAATTTGTGAATTCGACACTACCAACGCTGCCACTGAAAATATTTCTTTAAAACACTATAAGTAGCTCGGTAAGGACGATAAACCCCCTCCCCCTCCTTCACCCCCAACCCTCCGTATAAGTAAACTCCACTTAGTTACCCCCCCCCCCCCTACGTTTAAAATCGTTTCAAACTAAATTATCTGCCCTAATAGTCGTCACTAAACCCGGCTGTGTTTGTAATGTTTGTAAACATAAAGAGTGAACCACAGCTCACCAGACCATCAAGGGGTGGGGACGGTAGGGAGCGCGTTTGCAGCTTGTTTTCTAGCGACTCCCAGAAGAGAATTATATATATAGATAGTTTAGACAAGATTTTGGAAAAATATCGATGTTTTAAAAAAATTCAACTGCAATTTTGAGGGGGGTTGTAGGTTGAGGTGTGACGTCATTTTAGGGGGGGGGGTCTGACTTTTTGTGACGACGTGTGACGGAGGGGAGGGGGGGAGGTAAAAATCGTCAAAAAAAGCGTGACGTCATTTATGGATGACCCCGAAGACAAACGATCTTCTTTCAATATATAATAATACACTATTATTTAAATGACAATAAAAAAAGCGTGGGTTTTTATATTATCTTTTGGATACCTTTACTATTATTAAGGAAGAGACCTGGTTTGAGACGAATTGTTCAGTTAGAGGTGCTCAAAGTTTCTCTCGGCTGTGTCGATCTATGACCACAGATGAAGCAAGTGTTTCTTCCAGACATTTTTCTCTGGGGGGGGGGGGGGGGGGGGTGGAGGCACTTGATATTTTCCGGGGGGGGGGGGGCACTTGCAAAAGTATATGTTTTCTGTATAAATTCCATTTCGTTCGTGTGGAGCACCGCCGAAGAGATGCCTGGAAGAAACTATGGATGAAGCAAGTTAAAATAAAAGCTTGTGATACAAAAATCAACTTTTCGACTACGCGAAATGTCTCACACGCTTTTGTGTCCCGCAGGTATTGCAGTTGGCGGGACTGTTGGCTGTCTGCTGATCGCCTCAGTGCTGACGCTCCTGCTGTACAGACGACACAGTCGCAGACGTGACAGCCTCTACAGGAGGTTGTCAGATGAGAGCTCAGTGACGTACGGCTCAAGCTAACCTGACCGTTTTCCTCAGTCTGATCGGGCAATTCAACTATGACTTTCTACCTACCCCCTACAGAAAGTGTGAATTTTAATTAAAACATTACTTTGGAAATAAATAAAAATAGAGCAATTTATTTAGAATACAATTTCTTATTTTCAAATTAAGAAGTATTTAAATAAACCTCATCAAAAGACATTGGAAAATTAAAAATTCATGTATCATGTGAATTTAATAAACCACTTTGCTTTGTAAAACATATGATTTCATGTAAGATGTGAATTTAATTAACCACTTTGCTTTTTAAAATTATATTATACCAGGTATGATTTAAGTTAATTAACTACTTAGCTTTAAAAAAACTTCAATTGCATGTATCATGTGAATTTAATCATCTACTTCGTTTATTTTACAATATATTTAATGTCACTGAAATCAACAACAATCAGTCAGAGTATACATTAAATCTTCTATTTTTTTTAATTTAATTAAAATCTAAAACAACGAGTAGCGTATTAAGATTATTTTAATATATATTTTATTTATTATTATTATATTATATTATTATATTATTATTATTTTAATATATATTACCACAGCATCATATTCATTTGCATGTAGTTAGCTTTCTTTGTTTTAAAATGTGAACGCAAAACATATATTTCATTAAAAATAAAGTGGGAGTGATCTCCCCTAAACCCTCTCGTATATTCTTATATAATACTATGGGGGATGGCAACTCGGGATATAGACATGCTTTTAAATCAATTTTTAAATACTTAGTTTAAAAAAAAATAGAATCAAATCGCGTAGAAAAAAAGAATTGCACACCTAGTGAACTGCATGCAATGCAGGCAAAATAGTGCGGAACATTAGTACTTTATAAATTCATTTGCGTTTTTTTTTTTAGAAATAGCGCAAAAAACTACTTCTGGTCAACGAAAATGACTCAAAATTTGACAGAAGGCAAAGAATTAGATCTTTTACTTAGATGTAAAATTTTATTAATCTATCAGAAACAGTACTCAAGTCATAGGCTTTTGAAAAATTGAAAGTAGAATGTTCTACCGGAAATCGCTGAAAGGTTGAAACAAAACTACACATTTGATGATGTTATACGCATATATGAAAATTCATCAACTTAATTGTAACAATACTCAAGTTATTGTGTTCACAGACACACAGACACACACAGACACACAGACACATACATACACACAAACAAACACACACTCACTCACTCACACGCACACACACACACACACACACAACCATACAGACAAGATTGCAAAATTAAGTTTTTCTGACTCAGGATGGGCTAAAACGTCGATATTTGTGAAAATCTCGATTTCGTTAATTTTTTTGCATGAATACAATACTTCCTATATATTCCGTAAACGAGAAAGTAAAATAAAAAACGTCATTTGTTTTAATTACGAAAAATAAAAACCAACGCATTGTTTAGGATGTTGTGTTTGTGTGTGTGTGTGTGTGTGCTCCAGTATGCGACTTCGTGATCTCAACATTCATGAAAACTTAGTCATCCTCGTTAAGTAAACATTTATTGGATCACGGGTTTAACACGAGCTTCAACTTTAAAATCTCAACTTGATAACAACTTTCTAGAAAAATTTGTTCGAGGATATAACTTTGCCACTTCAAAATGTATCCTAGGGAAAAGAGACTACTTATAGCTGACCAAAACAGAAATAGATATAACTTGTTGAATATACAAGGGGAGTCCCCGTTCGTTGTTTTTATAGTATTTAAAAGCTGCTCACCTTCCGTGTAGAGATCACAATCAGTCTAGATCTAGTAAAAATAACATAAAACAATAACTTACTGCTTCCAGTTAGGCTATTTAAAACAAGCTGTTCCACTATGAAAATCGACACGATAAAGCAATTTTAGACGTGCTGTTTAAACACTCATTTCATCAAGTCGATACTCATTGACATCGATATTGGTCTGCTGTAGTAAGTTCAGTCTTCCTATATCGTTACTGGTCACTTCGTATTGATACAGTGGCAATCATTGTGTTCGCTATTTAATTCTGCATATTCTCTCTCTCTCTCTCTCTCTCTCTCTCTCTCTCTCTCTCTCTCTCTCTCTCTATCTATCTCTCTCTCTCTCTCTCTCTCTCTCTCTCTCTATATATATATATATATATATATATTTAAATATATATATATATATATATATATATATATACATATATATATATATATAAATATATTAAATATATATATCTATATATATCTATCTCTCTCTCTCTCTCTCTCTCTCTCTCTCTCTCTCTCTCTCTCTCTCTCTCTATATATATATATATATATATATATATATATATATATATATATATATATATATATATTTATTTATTTATTTAAACTTTATAAATAATATTTATTTTCCTTTTATTAGTAGCCAAGAGTGTTGATGCATCCTTGAATATAATTATTTATAATCATTTTTCGCATAATATTATAACATTTCTGTACAGCAAATGCTTATAGGATTGCTTAGTCTGATTCTGGCAAATATAATTTTTTAGCTTGTAATTTGCACATGTTACGATTTGAACTTGATTTAATTTGTTAGCCTCAAATGAGATGTCATCTTCTACGGTAATGCCGATGATAATGCTAACGCTGGTTAAGTTCAGCCTTGGAGCATATATACCGACGGAGTTTCAATCGGACTGGCCAGTTGGTGACCCAAGGCGATGCCAAGAGCAGTCACGGTCTAGTCAATTTAAAGCTGATCGTTTTGAGGTACATATAGCTTTTTGTTCCGCCTACCTGATTTTGATATAGGCTATACCTAATATTCTAACTAGTACCTTAAATGTATTATTGGAAGCACGTATAGAATTAAAAAATATATTTTTTAGACAAAAGTGGTGTAGAAGTTAGCGGACTGTCGCTTTTTGCGACTACGTGTGAGAACAGGAGTTGGGGGGGGGGGGGGGGCTAAAATAGTTACTAGGCACGATTTTGTTCGATGGTGTACTTTACATCTCGTATGTTTAATATGTGTCTTAATACATATTGACTTTTTTTATTTGAATTTGTTGTTTTATCAAAACAAACAAAAAATCAGATTCAACGTCGAATCAACAAATGTATACATGTCGTGTACGATATCGGGCTTTCAGATGTCGGCCAATTGGTTGTCGGTCTTTTGGTTGTCGGCATCATGGTCAGTCGGCCTTAGAGCTTCGCAGCCATTTTTCCGTTTCGGTCTTTTGTTCGGGTCCCCTCTAAAACCACCCCTTAAAATATGCATAGTCGCGATTCAAGGCGCGAGATAATATCAAGTAACATTGGCGTCACTAGGTCTATCAGAAACAGTACTCAAGTCATAGGCTTTTGATTAAACCGAAAGTAGAATAAATTCTACTTCCGGTAACCGGAAATCTCTGAAAAGTTGAAAAACATCTACACATCTGATATAATACTTATATATGAAATTTCATCAACCTAGCTGTAGCGGTACTCAAGTTATCGTGTTCACAGACAACACACAGACAATTACAGACACACACGCACACACACACATATATACACACACAGACATACGGACAAAATTGCAAAATAACACGTCTCGATATCGTTTTTCTTTGCACGATTACAATACTTCCTCTAAAATTCTTCATATACGAGAAAGTAAAATGCAACGTTTTCATAGTAAATTTTTAGTCACCCTAACCTGGGCTATGATTGACAAAGCAGTTATTGAAAATAAAATATTCAACTAAAATTTATTTTCTCGGCAAATTTTGCTGTTGATGCCATCCCAGAGGCGTATCCAGGTTTTCGTTGTAGGGGGAGCGAAAAGAGCAAACAAAGGCGCCAAATATTTAACACGTTCTATATACGTGTATTATATATATATATATATATATATATATATATATATATATATATATATATATATATATATATATATATATATATATATAATTAAGCTGTATGTCGTTACTTCGCTATGATGTAAAATAAATTGAAAGTAGCACTCTGGAGAAATAAGAAAAAACACAATGTAGGCCGACAAAACAAAAATTGTATCAATCTAAAGAAAAACAAAATATATGTACACACACTACAACCAAAAACAATGAACGTAACACAATCTGTTTTGTAATTCTTGTTAAAAAAATTTCTTACATAATAATTCCTGGGAAATTATTTAAAACAAGTGAAAAAGGGGAAATAATCACTCTCTTAATATAAATATGTATATATCTACACATTTAATTATAAATGTCAAAACAAATAAATAATTATTTTAGATTATAATGAAATTGTTTCACACTATTCGTGTTTACAAAATTTTGTTGTCTATAATCAGAATTTAATATATCGTCATCATAAATGCTAAAGTATTACAGCATAAGGAAAGTTTTTTAAAATCAGAGTTGGTATAAAACCACGCTTTTCGAATATTAGAAAAACATAAGGAATAACAGCCTACGTTTAACCAAACATCGGTCTTTTAGTTCAGATCATATATTTTAGTTAACTACTTCTTCTTTGTGTTCTTTAAAGAATAATTTTTTAACATAGTGATAGGTATGAGTTAGATCACTGTATTGATCACACAACTTTTTACTGGTAATTGCAAAAACAATATTCACAGAGTTTTACGTTTAAAAAGCTAATTTTCTGGCGGCATGGTACTTTGGTACATCATTACCCGTTTTTCTACATGTACTTAACAGATCAGTTCGGGTTGGGTTGGGGGAGGGGGGGGGGGGGTGGGTTCAACTTCATTCACCACTGTCCGTTCACTTTTGGTCAATTATCCAACCCGGTGTATACCTAGGTGTGACATTAATGTCGCTCTACACAATTGTGGTGGTGTGTGTGGGGGGGGGGGGGGGGGGGATAACCAACTCAGAGTGAACATGGCGTCAGTTTTTAGATGACTGTTCTAAGCATACATTTATATTACACAAATATATATTACACAAATATATATTACAGAAATAGATTTAAATAAGTAGCAGTGGTATTATGACAATATTTTTTTTACAGAGGGGTCCATGGGGGAGGGGGGTTGTAACTATTTCATATAATTTGTAATCGTAATCACTATCGCCCACACTGTAAAAATACCACTACTTCATCGTGATGACGTCAAAATTTCCCCACCACTACGCAGTTTGCTCATAAGTAAATTTAAATAGAGGTGCCACATCAGTTGTATTTGTTCATGTATTGTAATTTTTTAAAAATTAATCACACGATTCAAACTGTATATATAAAGTAATTGTGTGTGAAGTTTTATGTATAACAATTTTTAATTCAATTATTCGTAAGCAAATACATTATACAGTTGCCTTAAACTTAACACCTCTCTTGCCAAGTGGTACTACCGTAGAGGTTTTTTAAACATTGCAATGCATCGTAATGGTTATTTTTAGAATGGCAAACTGATGCAGCTGTTAATACGTGTTGTAAACGTAGACACTACTAAACTAGTACAATAATGCTTAATTGCTGCATGAAAAGAAATCTTGTGATTTACATAGATGTGCCGACCAAAAATTTGTTAACAAATATCATTGTTTAAAACTTTGAGTTTAAAAAGTTTCCAAAAAGGCGCCACTTTGCTGAAAATGGCCAGAGGGGGAGCGGCCGCTCCCCCTGCTCCCCCCCTGCGTACGCTACTGTGCCATCCCCCCTCCCAGGTGATAGCTTTATAGTGTGTAAAGGTAATAGTAACGATATTAATCTACAGTCGGTTATTAATACAGCTGGATGAAGCGTTGTTTTCTCTATAGTTAGCAGGTTTGTATGTAATATACTTTTTAGCTCTTATTAATCATTCATTGAACTGACAAAAAGTAATTTCTTCTATATATTTGCAATTATTCGTCTAGGTTTCACCCCCTAAATGGTGTTACCCGGTGTGGTCAGCACCCCCGCCTCCTCCATTTAATAATATCACGCACACCGACAATCACATGGCGATTTTTTTCTGAATAAAAGTCGTCGAAGAATTTGCAATCTATTGTAAAAAATCTTAAGTAAACTGGTTTTAAAATGTTAACTTTATTCCAGGTACTGCCTGGCATAGGCTGGGACAATCTCCGGAACCTGGAGGCAGGGATGGTCGTGACCTACAACTTCAGCAAGTGTAAAGGCACGGACGACGGTCAGTTTCTCATCCCCGATGACGTCTTCACTGTCCCTATCAAGGTAGATCTAGAGATTTGTTGCACTTTTACTACACCGTCCCTATTAAGGTAGAGCTAGAGATTTGTTACACTTTTACTACACCGTACGTATCAAGGTAGATCAGAGATTTGTTACACTTTTACTACATCGTCCCTATCAAGGTAGACCAGAGATTTGTTACACTTTTACTACAAAGTCGCTATTTAGGTAGATCAGAGATTTTTTACACTTTTACTACACCGTGCCTATTTAGGTAGATCAGAGATTTGTTACACTTTTACTACACCGTGCCTATTTAGGTAGATCAGAGATTTGTTACACTTTTACTACAACGTCCCGATCAAGGTAGTTCAGAGATTTGTTACACCTTTACTACACAGTCCCTATCAAGGTTTTCATGAAGTTTTACTTTTTAATTTACCCTGCAATAAAAAATCATATCCAATTATAAATGTAATAATTAATGAAATGGGCCGTCAATTCATCAAGCCACATTTGATGCATTAAGAGTAGGCCTACAGGGTGTGGACGGATGGGGGGGGGGGGGGTGAAGTCGTTTTCTTTTACCTTTGAGGATTTATATTAGTATATTACTATATTACTATATATTATTATATTACCTATTCACCGTGTGCTGATATGTGAAGCGATACTAGTGCACCGGCTTACCTAGCAGCGGCTTAACGTCAGCAATTTTTTTATTATGGACAACCATGTCAGGTAGAGGTTCTAACGCTACTCCCAACACCCCCCCCTCACACATACAGAGCCTACACTTTGTATATTTACATTTGTAATTCTCCCTTAACAACCCCTTACTCCACGGCTACATTTTAAATTTGGTTACAGTACAGTAGAGTGGAGACGTTCGCTGAGATCATCGACAGCTGGCACTCCTCCAAGTCTCTGACCTCCAACACCGTCAACATCCATGCCGGGTTCAGCTTTGGCGGGGTCTTGGTCAGTGGCAAGTTCTCCTACGAGCATGAGAACATCAAGTCCACCCAGATAGAGGACAAGGCGGTCACCGTCAGGGTGCAACTCAGATACCACAGGTTTGGGGGAGGTTTTTTTTAAAATTATTTTAAATTTGGGTAGGAATTTTAAAATTATAATCTTGATTTTTATTGAGGGGCGGCGTATAAATACTGTCAGTCGTTTTTGTACCCGACTATAATCGTCAAAAAAATGTGACCTCTGCTAAAAAAAAACATCACACTCTATGCGCCATATTTGTTAACCTTTATTACACGCTTTTATTTAACTTGCTTCCTCTGTCTGTCGAAAGTCTGTCTGTCTAGATCGAAACTTCCGAGCAAAATTAAGGGGAACTTCTAACTGACAGATTTATTTCAAAGTTGGCACGTGGGTCAAGACATGAAGACAATGAAATTAAATTTGACTTAATGGGATGCCTAATTATTTTTTTGTTATCCAACTATTCCGCACTATTTTACGTGAATTATATGTTCATTAAGTGCGCAATTGTTTTTAGTCATGCAACTCTATTGCATTAATATATCTAAAGTACTGAATTTTTTTTTTACATAAAAACGTTTTAATAACAAGCTTTTATGTAATAATGCACTAAAAGTAGAAAATAAATGAATTTCTTTAAATATACACTACTATTTAAATAACTATTAAGTAAAGCGTGGGTCACTTCCTAAATATTAGTAAAGGTATCCAATAGATAATAAACTGACCCACGCTTTTATTGGGTGTTAGTTTAATTTCTACGAAAAGATTAACCGAGTAGTCTTTCTTTGCAAGAGAAAGAAAGGAATAATAATTTAATCAATCTTTGTTGGTCGGTTAGGCCGAATGGTAGAGCGTTTGACTACCTACCAGAAGTATTCTACTTCGGATCTCGGGTTCGAGTCTGTAGGATATTCTTGAGTCTACCCAGCACTGATGGGTTGAGTATCAGAAACAGGATAGAAAATATAATGCCGCTGTGCATCATATGAATTATAACAAGGTAAAAAAAACAACAGGTGTACTTATCTTCATCTGACATATGGACTGCTAAGTTCAAAATAGTAACTTTACTTATTTGATTGTCAGCTCGATTGATTTAGCAGAAAGCATAACCCTAACCCTAACCCTAACGCTAACCGTCACAGTCACAGTCACAGTCACAGTCACAGTCACAATCACAGTCACAGCCACAATCACAATCACAATCACAATCACAATCACAATCATAATCACAATCACAACCACAACCACAATCACAACCACAACCACAACCACAACCACAACCACAACCACAACCACAACCACAATTTTTAATTATATAATCTCTGTCATATACATTGCAATAGGTACGAAGTCAAGCTACAACCAGATCCTATACTGAGTCCACAGTTCAAAAGCCGGCTGTTAAACATCGCAACTTATCTGGAGTTAAATCAAACCCAACAGGCCAGATACGAAGGACAACTCTTGGTTCGAGATTTTGGTAAACAATAAACCGGGAGTGATCTCCACTAAACTTTCTAGAATACTCTTATATAAAACAACAGGGAATGGGAACTCGGGATATAGACATGATTTTTAATCCATTTCAAATACTTAAACTTTTTAAAATAGAATAAAATCTCGAAGAAAAAAGAATTGCACACCAAGTGAACGCCAAATAAAATGTGCTTAATAGTGCGCAATATTATTAGTACTTTATAAATTTACATTCGTTTTTTGAGAAATCGGGAATAGCGTAAATTACTACTTCCGGTCAACGGAAATTACTTAAAATTTGACAGAAGGTAGAGAATTAGATCTTTTACTTACATGTAAAATTTCATTTATCTATGTGAAACAGAACTCAAGTTATAGGCTTTTGAAAAATTCAAAGTAAAAAAAAGTACCACTTCCGGTTACCGGAAATCGCTCAAAAGTTGACCCCTATGTAAGATTTTTATATAATACTTATGTATGAAATTTCATCAATCTAGCTGTTTCGTGTTTACACACACACACAGGGAGCCCTAAAACGTCGAGATTTGCACAAATCTCGATTTTTACTTTCTCGTATATACGAAGTATAGAGAAAGTCTTGTAATCGTGCAAAAAAAAAAAATCGAGATTTTTACAAATCTCGACGTTTTACACCACACTGATACGGAAAAACATAATTTTGCAATCTTGTCCATATGTCTGTGTGTCTGTCTGTGTGTCTGTCGGATACACTTTGGAGTGCGGTTTCACACATTATTATCAACATATCAAGACCAAATAGTTTTTTTTATAATTAAAAATATACAATTAAATATTCTGTTTTTATAATAATGTAAGTCTACCAACATAATTATGCTAATTATTTTCATGATTGGGTTAATGTACCTGTACCACCAAAACTATCCTTATGCACCACTATAATAAAAATTATGTGAATGAACTATCCTAATTGCCTTGATTTGGACGTGGTGGCCTAACGGTAGAACGCCTATGGGTACCTGACTCAAGTTAAAGAAGGTATAGGTGTTTAGTACACACTATCCCTTCAAATGCCGAGGTTACAAAAACACGTGGACTCTACTTTACCTGCATCATGGACCGTCAGATTGAAATATTTTTTATTTTATTTTACTACCATTATTATCGTAAATGACCACAATAAATATGCTAATGTACCCCCAGGGACTCACGTGATCACCAGTGTCACGGCCGGGGCTGGCCTGGTCAAGGACGATTTTATCAGCCGACACTACGCCTCCTCTGAGAGTACTAGCAAAACGTCCATTCTCGTGTCTGCCAGTGCTTCCTACCGTCAACTGTTCAAGTTTAGCGCCGCCTATGGGTAAGTAACGCTTCCTGCTAAAAAAAAAAATTGAAAATCAAATTAATCAAATATGAATTATTAATGGCTAATAAGCAAACTTGGAAGCTACTAGAGCGGCTTAGACAATGTTACTTTTTACTGCATAAAAACGCATATTATGGTGAAGCTATTTATTTTCTGAAACAAAACAGAAATGCACACGTTAACATTGTGATCAAGTATATCTAATAAAAATGTGTAATGAAATTAGTAAAATAAGCATATTTTAAAAATTATCATTTAATAAGCAAGTAATAATTGGATGTTCGTTAATTTATTTAAATCATGTTAAATAAAATATGTCTGGTTTTTGAAAAGGCGTATATTATATCATGTCTATTACCTTTTATTATCAAAGACACATCAGCCAACAGACAGACACCAGCGCTTACCTAGACCAGCTCACTCACTCTTTCATTCACACGTTCGGTGGACCGAACTTCCGGTCAAACATGACCGTGGACGAGTGGGCCCTGGAAGTGGACAACAACCTGGTCCCCATGGACAGGACGGGAGACCCTCTGTATTTCTTTATCACAACACAGACGCTACCAGAGTTACCGCGCTTTACAGTTGCTGAAGTTGAAAACGTTAGAAATTCTTAAATGCATTTCTATTTCGATCGATCTCATGCATTTTGTTTACATAATAATGCTAACAAGAGATAACTAAACTTTGAAAAAGAGAAGTATATTTTATACTCTGTTTTGTATACTGCCTACACAATTTCCCATTTTTTACATTAAATACCAATATATCACAGCTGGTAAAGGAGTCGATCGAGACGTACTATGAGATGAACACCATACGAGGCTGTACAAAACTCGATGCTCCAAACTTTAGTTTCTCTGCTAACTTTGACGACGGCTCGTGCCATTCACAGGCTGCTAACCTTACGTTTGGAGGTACGTGTCTGCAGTTGTGATTTAATTATATTGATAAATATAAACATATATCGATGCATATACATCTTTTATATATATATATATATATATATATATATATATATATATATATATATATATATATATATATATATATATATATATATATATATATATATATATATACTAGCCGTCCCGCCCAGGCAGCAGCACTGGCCTCTGTGAATAAACTATCAGTAAAGGATCATGACATGTGTGTATAGTAATCAGCATATACCCGGCATTTCCCACCCTAACCTCAACCAACCAAACCCAAAACACAAAAACTCTCTAAAATAACATAAACGCCAACACAAATACAAACACAAACGATAACACAAGCACAAACGCAAACACTAACCCAACAACAAACCCAAAGAAAACAAACACAAACGCAAAAAAAAAGCAAACGAAAACAAACCAAAATCCAAACGCAAAGACAAACCCAATCACAAACGCAAGCCCAAACACAAAGAAAACACCAAATCGCACAATGCTTGGGCGACGGCGGAACCGCCTGTTTCAACTTAGTAAACGACTAGTCTTTTTCACTCACTTAAACAAACGTAGGCGCCAAAGCGAACATGGGAAGGCCCAAGATTTGATTCAGTTAAAGACTATAATACCCCAAGCTTATCCGCAAACGGAAAGATAGAAGTAAACATAGAGGACATTAAGGTGCGCTTTGTAAACTGTCATTGATTACAAATAATATTTAGTAAACAGTACGTTCAGCGTATAAATTAAATAAAAGGTAGTATTTAAAATATCTGTGTTTTACTTACCACATCGCACTTGATCAACCCACGCTAATTATGTAATTATTTTTCCCCCAACACCAAAACAAAGTAATAAAAAGTAAACCCCCCTCCCCCCCCCCCGATGTAATGTTTTTTTTACAGGGAAGTAATTCTTTTTTCCTAATTTATCAAGGGACGTAATGAGTGCTAAAGGACTAAATGAAACCAATTTTTAGAAACAATTAGAATTTGTGTAAAGGGTGATACATTTTCTTAATTTTGTTTAATACACATGCTGTTAATTAACACTATAAGTTTGGAAAATGAAATTTGTTTTGTAACACCTTTAATATTAAGTTTTTTAATCAATAATTTTGACAATGTGCACTTTAGATATATCACTCTATGGCAATCAAGTCTATTTTTTTTATTATATACTTCTGTAATCATGGGTCCGTCCGCTGTCCGCCACATACATTACATAATTAAACTTATATATATATATATATATATATATATATATATATACATATATATATATACATATATATATATATATATATATATATATATATATATATATATATATATATATATATATATATATATATATATATATTCTATGCAGGTGCTTATCAGACCTGTGAGGTCTCAGGTAGTTTCCTAAATATGAACCCATGTGACGGCCTTAGTCAAGTTAACCCAAGGGCTGGGGGTTACGCTTGTCCACCCTCGTACTCGCCAGTGCTGCTCCTTACTGTCGCCGGATCGCCAAATGTGGAGTCGAATCGTTTTTGTCAACGGTGCGCATTTATTTAAAATACTGAATTAGTTTTGTTGAGTGCAGATGAGGATTGATAGCTAGATAAAGCGATCCGTAAAGGAGAGAAAAATCCTAAATTAAACACCTGCTGTTTTCTAATTCATTCTAGGATCTACAAAAGTTGGTAAATATAGTGTTTAATAGTATTGATATACAACTTCAAAATTAATTAAACGATTTGCAACTTAAATTTTGAACAAACGACATTTGAAACCGGAAGCTTTTATCACAACGATTCCTTTGCTGAATTCCATGTGTCTTTTGCCCTAAAGGGAAAAGATGATGTTTTCTTCTTCTTCTTCTTCGTTCTTAATTTTAGTGTTGGAAGGGATCCTCTTCCAACACAATTAAGGATACGTGTCAACTGGTTATGCGCCGATTTCAGCCTGCTGTTCTTTTTGAACAGCAGGCTGATTTTTTCTGAGTAGTTTGATTTTTAAGAAATATGTACTACTAGTTTACTAGTAATCATAAGTGTTATTTAAACTTGCAGGAGCGTATACAACTAAAATAACCGAGAAAAAAGTATTAAGTCGCGCGACCACGAAATCCTAGGTAACCGAAACTAACTACGTTTTTTAATCATTACTACCAAAAAAAAAATCGGTTTGTTGGTAAAATTTACTTTGTTTTTTCTATTTCCAACCCAACTGTATAAAGTCGTTCTTCATGTTTTGACAATTGCATTGTGTTTGCTACCAGCTGTAAGCATCATCATCAGTGTTGCCACACCGAGCAGTTCGTCTCGTCCTCCACCTACTCCAGCTACTGGTGTGCGGCTACAGGCCCAGTTGAGAGAGACTCGGGCTATCTGTTTGGTGGTTTTTACACGGGCGGCGGCAAAAACCCCATCACGGATACGGTGGTAAGTGGGGCTGGTGATTTTCATGACGGTGTTGTTTTTTTTTTGGAGTGGTCATCACAGAATGAAAGTTGTCAGTTATTTGTCGGCGTGTTCTATTATGGGAGTAGTTAGTTCTTTCGGGACGAGGTCATCATTATTTGTCTGGGGGCGTGGTCATCACATTATGGGGGTAGTTAGTTCCCTGGGGACGTGGTGATCACATTATAGGAATAATAAGTTCTCTGTAGGCGTGGCTATCACACTATGAAAGTAGTTAGTTATCCGGGGGCGTGGTCATTACAGTATGGGAGTAGTTGTTTGTCTGGGGGGCGTGGTCATCATTTATGGGAGTAGTTAGTTTTCTGCGGGCGTGGTCATCACATTATGGAAGTAGTTTGTTCTCTGGGGGCGTGATTATCACACTATGGGATTAATTAGTTCTATGGGGGCGTGGTCATCACACCGTGGTTGTAGTGTGGCATGTGAACCACCATGTCGAAATAAAAAAAAAATATTAAAATATGTCTTAATATTATCTGGGGGTTTTCTAGTTGCTTCTACTCTCTCTTATACTTTCAGGGTTGTCCCTAGGCTTTTATTCTCTATACTCTCTTATATTTTCAGGGCTGCCCCACTGGCTTCTACCCACTCCACATACTACGAGACACCACACTGTGTCTCAGCGATGACTACGAAACTGAGATGCAGTTCTCTGTTCCGTTTGGTGGTTTCTTCACTTGCCGCTCAGGTGGGACAATAGTGGAATTTTTCTCACTTGATTAGGAGGGAAATTCATGGGTTATTTCTCCTTATCTATCGCCAGTGGGAAATCCGAAGCGAAAACGTACTCTTATAAAAAAAATTTCCTTGATGTGATTGCAAATATCTCCATTTAGGGTCTAATAGTGTTTACGTGCGTGATATAGATAAACACACTACGTTTTTAGTCTAAAACTAGAATGACTATGTAGTTTAATAACTAGATTTAGGTTTATGATATAAAGTTTTAAAGTCTAGGAGTATATTCCTGTACACATATAGTTGTAGTTTTATAATAGTATTATAATAATATTATTACAAGTATTCAAATAAAAGGTAAGTGAGAGACAAATATGTCAATCCATTCTACTTATAATTCTTGTTATTTTATGTTGTTTTCATTAAAAACCTATGGAAATCTAGCGAAGACTTATAGATGTTACCGGCAAAGGGTAAACCGGCATTCAGTAGAATACCTAGTTAATGTGTACAATAACATAATGATATGATATGGGTTAGATCACTGTTTTGATCACACACCTATTTACTGATAATTTCAAGAACAATATTTACATAGTTTTACCTGTTTCAAAAGCTGTGATTCTGGCGGTATGGTACCTCATTACGCGTTTTCCCAATTTAATGTACTTAACAGATCAGTTCGGGGTGGGTTGGTGGGGGGGGGGGGTTAACTTCATTCACCACTGTCCAGCCACTTTAGGTGAATTATACTACCCAGCGCTTACCTAGGTGTGACATTAATGTCGCTCTATACAATTGTGGTGGTGAAGTGGGGAGGGGGAAATAACCAACTCAGGTTGAACATGGCGTCAGTTTTAGACAACTGTTCTAAACATACTTATACAATTATACAAATATACTGATTTAGAAATAAATTTAAATAAGTAACAGTGTTATTATTGGTATTATGACAGTAAACATGTTTTTGTAACTCCACTTAACCCCCCCCCCCCCCCACCTCACCTGCCTACGCCATTGCGGAAAAGATTTCCATGTTCCGAAATTTATTGCAGGAAATCCACTAGCACTTGGCATCTCTCCGCGTGGGGGTGCAAATCAGAGACAGCCCCCGCCGAACTCTCTGAAAGATTTCATTTTCCGACACAGAGGTTCAGAAGCATATCCACAAAAATGCCCCACCGGTTACAGCCAGCACTTGCTTACTGTTGAAGATGTAAGCCTCTTATGGTTGATCTCCACTCTCATTTACTTAGTATTTTTGGTTATATTTTAATTTTAATAGATTTTTAGAAACATTTATTTTAAGAAAAAAAAAACGCTCTTATAAACAACGACTTCTTATTGTAATGTAGATGATGCCCAAACAACAAATTCTTATTTTAATGAGATGAAGCACAACCAACGACTTCTTACTTTAAAGTAGATGAAGCACAACCAACGACTTCTTATTTTAAAGTAGATGAAGCACAAACAACGAATTCTTATTTTAATGTAGACGAGCCGGCCCGCGGCATAACATACGCCGCTATTTAGTTGTTTCTAATTTTCAATAATTCATAATTTGTAAATTCGGCAGTACTAACGCTGACACTGAAAATATTTCTTTAAAACACTATAAGTAGCTCGTTAAGGACCATAACCCCCCCCCCCTTCCTTCCCCCCCCCCCCCCGCCTCCCCCCCCCCCTACCTTTAAAATCGTTGGCTCTGCTTGTAAACATTTAGAGTGAACACAGCTCACTAAAACCATGTAGGGGTGGGGAGGTAGGGAGAGCGTTTGCAGCTTGTTTTCTAACGGCTCCCAGAAGAGAATTATATATATAGATAAAGCACAAGTAACATTTCGATGACCGTGCGTTAAATTGTATTTCATGATTTTTATTTCTAACAACGATAAACTCATAACAGTTGGATGCTGACTGTTCTGATAATGATCACATATCTACATTTCACTAGCTTATAATCTCGCATACACCTACGAGAAACCACGTTGTTGGTTTTGTTTTTTCGGCAATACGCAATCACAGTCGTATATATATATATATATATATATATATATATATATATATATATATATATATATATATATATATATATATATATATATATATATATATATATATATATATATATATATATATATATATATATATATATATATATATATATATATATATATATTAGCGTAATTTGCGAGGCTTACTCATTTTCCGTAGGTAAATGGCTATATGTGAGGTTGGCTAAATTTGATTTTGACCAGTGCATGCTTATTGAATACGTCGGAAACGTAGTTTGGTAGGTTGCAATTAGTTTGGTTGAGCACACGATGGATAACACGAATGTCTCGAAATCGGATTTGAATCCAGATTTGAGTCTGCATATCGTTCCAAACCAACCTGAAATACATGCCCTTATCATCTGTTTATGCTGAGGTCAAGAAACATCTACATTTTACATCATCTTCCATAATCCATATGAATCGTTAGGTCTGAAAGGAGAGCTCTACTTTTTTTACGATTTAGTTAAATGTCAAACTTATAGAAAATATGATTTTCTTTTACCAAGTAAAATTAAATTGTTCTTTTTACTTTCTCGTATACAGAGTATAAAGAAAGTATTGTAATCGAGCACACAAAATCACATGAAATTTGGACAGTTTTCACTGTTTTACTCCTCAGTACTTCAATATATACGGAGTATAGGGGACTTTCATCGGGCAAAAAAGTATAAATCTAGATTTATCAAAATTTTGGCGTTTGCAATTCCGTCCGTGTGTGTGTGTGTGTGTGTGTGTGTGTGTGTGTGTGTGTGTGTGTGTGTGTGTGTGTATGTATGTCTGTGAACACGATAACTTGAGTAGCATTACAGCTAGGTTGATGAAATTTCAAATTTCATATATAAGTATTATATCAAATTTGTAGTTCTGTATAAGCTTTTGAGCAATTTTCGGTAACCGGAAGTTGAACTTATTCTACTTTCAATGTTTCAGATAGACAAACGAAATTTTACATTTAACTAAAAGATCTACTTTTCTGTCTTCTCCACTTTTAAGCAATTTCTGTGTTCCGGAAGTAGTACTTTATGCTATTTTCGTTTTCATAAAAAACGCATATAAATTTATAAAGTACTAATGTTCCACACTATTATACACACTTGGTGCGCAATGCTGTTTTCTACGAGATTCTCTTCTATTTTAAAAAGTTTAAGTAATTAAAAATTGAGTAAAAATCATGTCTATATCCCGAGTTGCCATCCCCCAGTAGTCTTCTATATAGGTAAATTCAAGAAAGTGTAGGGGAGATCACTCCCGCTTTATTTTATTAACATTAAAGTTTATACTTGGTTTTCGCGTCCTACTGAATATTCATTTTTGAATAGGTGGCCTACACAACATGATTTTTTAAAAATTGAATTTTTTACAATATTGCTTTAGGGCTGCTCCGTTTACTACTGCATACAGACCGGTTATCTTGCTGGGCCTAACCTACCACCATTGAAGAGACCACCTTTTATGAAGAAACCACCAATCATTGTAGACAAAGAGAATGCATCTGTGTTGGACCCTGCTACACGGGTGAGTTACCTAATAGAGAGTCGACCCAGCATTACAGCAAGATGCTAAAAGAACAGTATTTACACACTTTCCGGTGCTGTTTTTTTACTTTCTCGTATACGAAGTATAGAGAGAGTATTGTAATCGTGCACTAAAAAAATCTCGATTTTTACAAATTTCGACCGACGTTTTACACCTCCATGAGTCAGAAAAAACATAGTTTTGCAATTTTCTGCTTAAGTCTCTGTGTGTGTATGTGTGTATGTGTGTGTATGTGTGTCTTTGAACACGATACCATGCGTATCCTTACAGCTAGGTTGATGAAATTTCATATGTAAATATTATATTGAATTTTAGTTCTGTTTTAACTTTTAAGCGATTTCCGGTAAACGGGAGAGGATTTTATTCTACTTTCAATTTTTCAAAAGCCTATAACTTGAGTTCTGTTTTAGATAGATAAATAAAATTTCACTTGTTAGTAAAAGATCTAATTCGATGCCTTCTGTCAAGTTTTGAGTTTATTTCCGTTGACCTAAAGTAGTAATTTACGCTATTTCCGATTTCTCAAAAAAAACGCATATAAATTTATTAAGTACTTATAATATTCCGCACTATTTTACACATATTGTTTGGCGTTTACTTGGTGAACAATTCTTTTTTTCTACGAGATTCTATTCTATTTTTAAAAAGTTGTAGTATTTAAAAATTGATTAAAAAGCATGTCTATATCGTAGTGTTGTATAAGAATATTCGAGAAAGTTTAGGGGAGATCACTCCTATTATTTATTTACTTTTGAATTACGGTTTTATGCAAATAAATATTAATTGAAAAGCAAGATTTTATACGAACTCTGCAGAATACATTGTCAAAATAGTTTATTATCCTCCATTAGTGAAATACTAAAGACGTACAGGCGATGAGATAAGTACATATAAATTCCAAGCGATACCGCACACTACCACATTAACGCCCAACTCCAAATTTGAAATAGTTCAAATTATTCAGTTTACGAAAAGCTCATGTGTACTTTATCCCATATCTGCTTCAAATTTTATTACCTAAATGTAATTTTGGGCTTGATTTTCTGAAACATAATTAAATATTAAAAGTCACCATATGATGTGTCATATTACCCGTTGACTCCAGCCTATTTTTCTTTCTGGACTTTATTCCATAGCCTTTTGTCCATCCCATATATAATACCATCTTATGCTACTCTATACCTCCAGCTTTGAAATCTTTTACATATGCGGTTATCGTTGAAATTTCGCTCTTAATTCTAGTACATACAATTTTATATCTCCCTCTGCATTAACTTCTGCAGCAAATAATTTTATCCTAACTTATCTAAAGAACTGGCTGTTAATGATTAACACGAGAAGTAAATACATCGAAACTGTTAAAATATCAACCAACACTCCTTTGAAAAATAAGCAACTATGACAATATACCGGAATTATAACTAAAAAGAAAGCAACACATATTAAAGATGGTCTTGAGTCCGTAGTGAGTAGCTGGGTCCGCCCTTAGAAGTAGCCTACCTGAAGTTAGCGAGTTTACATACATAGATGAACTCTACTTCATCTGGTCGTTAGGTCTGAAACGGTAACTTTACTCGGGAAAACTTCATGTTCTAAAATACATGTTGCAATTACTTTTTTCTCAGACTTGGACGAACGATGAGAAAGCCAAAGAGATCGAGAGGCCACTGGAACTGAATGAAACAGTTATCGTAGAGTCTTCCACTGTCTCACATCCTGCAAGTGTGACACCCGATGCCGGCACAATTTTAGCTGGTGAGAAATACAACTGCTACTTTTTCGATATATGCTAATATGCCAACTGTATAATTTTTTATTTTAAAGAGGGCATTAACCCACCCCCCGTCAATTACCCCCGAACTTTTCTTCCCCGCCATTACCCCCCAGGCGGTAAATACCCCCTGTCAATTACCCCCACGCAGTAGGACATTACCCCCCCCCCGGTTATAGTTTAATTGTTCAGCTACGGTTTGAGTTTGGGCTAGGTCTAGGTCTAGGTCTAGGTCTAGGTCTAGGTCTAGGTCTAGGTCTAGGTCTAGGTCTAGGTCTAGGTCTAGGTCTAGGTCTAGGTCTAGGTCTAGGTCTAGGTCTAGGTCTAGGTCTAGGTCTAGGTCTAGGTCTAGGTCTAGGTCTAGGTCTAGGTCTAGGTCTAGGTCTAGGTCTAGGTCTAGGTCTAGGTCTAGGTCTAGGTCTAGGTCTAGGTCTAGGTCTAGGTCTAGGTCTAGGTCTAGGTCTAGGGCTAGGGCTAGGGCTAGGGCTAGGGCTAGGGCTAGGGCTAGGGCTAGAGCTAGGGCTAGGGCTAGGTCTAGGGCTAGGGCTAGGGCTAGGGCTAGGTTTAAGGCTAGGTTTAAGGCTAGGTTTAAGGCTAGGTTTAAGGCTAGGGCTAGGGCTAGGGCTAGGGCTGTAGCCATTTACTATCTAACCCGACTTCTTAGATAAACTTTAAATTTTTTTTAATAGAATTAAAATTTAACAATTTTGAAAATGATGAGCGATTAAGTTTTTCTTAAATTGTATGTTTATTCATCTATAATTATAGGGCATTTTAATTGTTATAAAAATTAAGCTAGTGATTTATGCTCGTGTTTCTTGTGCGCTTTTCTATGGGCGTCATAAAAACGATATTTACTTTAAGTTGGTAGTGATCGACTAGAAAAGAACAAATTATGCATTTTTATGGACGTTTTTTAAACGATTTTGTATTCCCCAGGTGTTGTCTTTGGTGCGCTAGCTGCCTGTCTGCTGTTTGCCTTAATGCTGACTCTCCTTCTGTACAGACGTCATAACAGTAGCCGTGAAGGTCACTACAGGAGGCTGTCAGAACAATCAGAGAGCACAGTGACCTATGGCTCAAGCTAATACATTTTCTTATTAAACTAATTAATCACCGCGGTAATAGGGCTGGTAAGTAGGTCACCAACCAGTTCTATGGCTCATGCAAGTTTTATTGAGCAGTAGAAGTAGTTGGTGACCTACTTACCAGCCCTATAAGCATACGACACCAGTCACCACGAATCACAACGCGGAGAATGCAGCAGAAAAAATCACACGGAGTCAAATAACTAAATGTATAAGTTAAACTACTTTGTAAAAAATGCTGGAAACGAATATTGCTGTACAATGACATGCATTGTTGAAAATTAAAGCAACTGCTTTTTTTTTATTTTATATAACTTTTGTTATTATTTTAGCTTACGAGCTCATACGTATCCAATCATAATAAAGATCTAAACTTCGTTTAGTAAGCCACTTATGGTTCACTTCATGCGTACGGAGCAGCTTAGAAAATTGAAGTTTTAATACCATAGGATAGGTACATATTTTAGCTGAGTCAACTCGATGAACCCCTATCATCGGATGCTTCTACTTAGCAAAATTGTTTAGTAAACAAAGCCAAACAAACGTTCGAAGGACCACATTGTGTAGCGCTGAGTAAACTGGGTTATGTGGATCCCAAGACAAAGTGACACATTGATAAAGCCTTATCTCGTTAAAAAAATTGTGTATTAAGTTCAAGAATTTTTAAATATCATTTATATACCAAAAACTGTTTAAAATGTTCAAATAGTAAATACAGTTTTTAAAACGTAACAATAAATACGCGTATTTGGAAGAAAAATTAAATCTACCACTACATGCGTTTAACGCTAGATTAAAAAAACAAAAAAAAATCGTGAGTGATCTCCCCCTAAACTTTCTCGAATATTCTTATATAACACTTTTAATCCATTTTTAATTACTTGAATTATTTAAAATAGAATAGAATCTCGTAAAAAATATTACACACCAAGTGAACGCAAAAAAAAAAAAATGTATGATAAAGTTGCCTATCGGGACTTGTCGGGTCACGGAGCAGGTGTAGTAGAGTTCACCTGTTTCTATCTTGTCAGCATATGTAGTGATAGTGTGGTCAGACCCATGCTCAGCCGAAATAGGCCTTTTTAATAGACAAAAGTAACATAACTACTATTGATAAGCCCGGTTTTTTAACAAAATCATCTGAGTCTCTTAATTTTAAGTCTCTCAATCAGCGTGTGCATTTAATATGGTGTTGTGTTGACTAATAATGTATATAATTTGGTTATAATTTTTCTAATAGGTATTGATAGTCTATGTTATTTTAAATGTGTCGGATTTTAGCTATTTAGTTATTTCTTTGCATTGTCACTAATATCGTTCAACATGTCGTTTTGACAAATAACTTTTTTATAAAACATGTTTCTAAAACGAGTGTAACAATAAATATATAGGCCTATAATTCACGTGTAACGGGTAGGGCCTACCGACGGATAGTTTGATATAACTTATATATGAAATTTCATCAACATAGCTGTAACGGTACTCAAGTTATCGTGTTTACAGACGCAAACACATACACACACATACGCACACACACATACAGACATACACACACAGACACAGACATACGGACAAGATTGCAAAACTATGTTTTTCCGACTCATGGAGCCCTAAGACGTCGAGATTTGCAAAAATCTCGATTTTTCTTTCTTTGGACGATTACAATACTTCGTATACGAGAAAGTAATAAGGGCGAAAATTCGCGATTAAAAGCCACATTGTCGTCAGTTAACACATTTTTATGAACGGTGATTTTCTGAAAAAGTACCTCGACAAAACATACATTGCTGAAAGCTACCAAGTTATTTTATCTGTTCTAACATAACATTGATTGTTACACATAAGTGGGGGGGGGGGGGGGGGGGGAAGAGCCGATATGAAACTTGAAGCAATGGATGTGTCATCGCGCGCTTCAACGGAAAAAAATCATGTCAGTGTTGAAATACCTGTTATCAGTTGTTTTTTTAAATTTAAATTAAATATTAACCGTGAGGTGTTCTAAATTCCCGAGAAAAACGTGATGGTCTTTTTTACTTGTCTCAGGATTTGTTTACAAAGTTTAAGTCAATAGAAGATAATAGAGAAATTGTTTACTATACGTTTTCGATGTTAAATTTGACTTTATTTGGTCTGATATGGAGTTTTGGGAGACTACATTGCTAATTCGATATGACAAAAAAAAAGATTAAAACCAATATTGCTTTTTTTTTTAGGTCTGTGTTAAGGATCAGGTTTAAAAAGTTTAGGGTTAAGACTGGTTATTGCCAATACAGAAATGTTAGACTAAACACAGCTCAGATTAATCCCACTGTCAACATTAGTTTACTAAATAATTGTAACTAGAAAGACGTTGAAATCACAGACATGCAGGTGTTTTACTTATACCAGGAAGAGTTTACGAAGTTAAACCAAACCTTCAGGGTAGACTTATGGTTTAAGTCAGGACTTCCCTGAGTCCTAACTCACGTTAAAGAAAGTAAAAGTTGCAGATGATAGTGTTAACCACACTTTCTCTTCATATGCCGAGGTTACAGAAGCAGGTGAACTCTACTTTATTTGCCCATGGACCGTTAGGTTCGAAAATAGAACTTTTTTACTTTTTTTAAATGCTCAGCTTCTAGTAACAATGTATTTGTATTACGCAATTGTTATAAATTTTGTGGCGGAATCTGTAAAATGCAAATTTTTTAGTGTTTCCAACATTCTATTCTCTAAAAATCAATAAACCAAAACATTTTGTTTTTTTAACAGTAAATTTCAAGTAACATTGTCACCACTAGAAACTTTGATATTATTTTTCAACTCCTCGTTGGCCATTACAAGTTTTACAAAAAATTGGCCACGGAGAAATACTATTCGTTCCATTTGACATTATTCTTAATTTGGAAAACGCACGGTTGCTTACCCGAAAGGTCCCGAGTTCGAACCCCGGGGCAGACGAGGCGTGTAACCAGGGGACAGGAACTCGTCTAGAAGACAAAACAGTAGTGGAACCCCCTTATGTGACAGTATTACCAACTCAGGTTTTCCTTTCCGGAGCCTCTGAAGCCCAAGCTGGTAACCAAACGCAGTGCTTAGTATCTCCTTAGATTCAAGCACTGTTCCAACCAGCCCAAATATAAAACCCACGTCTACATCCCCCTCCTCACCCCCGAGCGAAATAGATTTCATGTAGAAAATAAATTTACACTGTTACGAGTGTCATCCACACCCCCCGTAACATTTACCTCCCCGAAAGTTTCAAATGCCCTTCCCCCTGGATAAAAAAAAGTCTGAAAAATAAAACCGCTATATTACCTGTTGCAACAGGTAATCTTTTCGCCTAAATCCTATTACGTTCACTTATCATTCCACTTCTCTGTGTGGATCCATTGCCTTACGAGGCAAAAAGGCGGCATATCAAATGTGGAGAGATCTGACTCAAAAAGGCATAGCATTCCTTTAGCTTGAAACTAAAATTATTCTCTCTTTAACCAAAAAACCGACAAGAATGTTCATAGTATTCGAACTCAAATCGTCGTGAGATATGTGCATGAAGCTACCAGCAACTACATCCACTACTATTTGCAAAAAATTATATTTTATAAATTGTAGATTCTTAAATTCAAAAATACCAAGATACCTTCAAACCCATTACACCTGCATATGTATGATTGCGTTGCATTTTTATGCTAATTGTTATATCACTATTCTATTCAATCAATTATTTTTTCATACTAAGTGTGTCAAGATCATTCAAGTGTAACTAACACACAACACGTTACAATAAACACGTCAAAATATACATTGATTATCAACGTTTTCCCACAGGAAGTATATTTTATTTTATTTACTTAAACCCTGCGATGTAAGTATTATAATTTTTGTTTCTTTATTTTATACAACTGCAACCGAAAACAACGGGAATTCCCGAATGTTACGTAGGGAAAAAAAATCTGAATTTACTTCCTGCTTTGTCGCAAGTAGTCTACAACTCACGTCGTTTTACGGTCTGTTTGTGTCGAAAGGGGGAACAGCCATCATAATCCACACACTGACTTAGGTTTGTTATTCAATGCAGTGCTACTGGTGAACTGGTGTGTTGACGTTTGAAGGCCCGCGAGAAATCTTTAACCACATTTCGAGTTGTAGTGCTGGTGGCGTATGATTTAAGCTTCAAATAAAATATGAAGGTAAAGTACAGAATTAACTACATTTTTTAAAGAATATGAATAGGTGTAGCAATAGGCCTTCAAATATGCCATGCTCCTTCGTTTATTACTGTGTAAATTTTACGAAACTGTTAATTTACTGTATAAATATTTCAAGTATCAAATTCAAAGAAATATCTTGTTCAGTTAGTTTAGTGTTGGTGAATAAGAGATTAGCAAAAATTAATCAACAAATAACATACAATGTCTAACTAGATTTTAAGCTTCCCTACCTCTCAGATATTCCTACATGATGTTTTAAAGTTATATATATATATATATATATATATATATATATATATATATATATATATATATATATATATATATATATATATATATATATATACATGTAAAACATTTTCATGGCTTCCCCCACCTCAACCCTACCCTACTCTTTTAACACATTGCAAACGTCAAATCACTCTCCATTGTGCTTGAACTCGATTTTTTTTTATAAACGCTTAAATATGATATTTAATTGCATTTTTAGATCTCTAAGCGAATGTCTTGGTTTAGTTCTCCAATTGTCTGTAGCCATACTCTGTGTGGGGTAGAGCTAAACATCGTGTGTAGAACAGAGGTATAAATAAGTATGAGACAGATTTATACATAGAGTATAAGAACGATTTATACGCGATGTGTAGGTCGGAAAGCTATAAACATAGTGTAGACAATTAGTGTGTAGTTCAGCCTAATACAGTGTGTAGATTAGACAGTGTGTAGGTCAGCCTAATACAAACAATGTGTAAACTACTTAAAATAAGACTATTTATGTGTAAGTCAGCCTACTATAGTGTAAATTAGAATATTAGTTTGTAAGTCAGCCTTCTATAATGTAAATTAGAATATTAGTGTGTAAGTCAGCCTAATATAAACAGTGTGTAGGTCAGTGTGTAGGTCAGTGTGTAGGTCAGTGTGTAGGTCAGTGTGTAGGTCAGTGTGTAGGTCAGTGTGTAGGTCAGTGTGTAGGTCAGTGTGTAGGTCAGTGTGTAGGTCAGTGTGTAGGTCAGTGTGTAGGTCAGTGTGCAGGTCAGTGTGCAGGTCAGTGTGCAGGTCAGTGTGCAGGTCAGTGTGCAGGTCAGTGTGTAGGCCAGTTTGTAGGTCAGTGTGTAGGTCAGTGTGTAGGTCAGTGTGTAGGTCAGTGTGTAGGTCAGTGTGTAGGTCAGTGTGTAGGTTAGACTACAACAGGCACAACACATCAGAGGTCCATGTTCTATGTTTACATAAGACCACGTTAATCGTGTGTTGGAAACGCTAAGTGACACAGGGGTCAAAGGTTATAACGATTCACACAGACCTTTCAAGTTGTGTTAGGGCTTTGAATAGTTTGATGAATATGTAACACACTAAAGCCTTTCAGCTAAGTTGTCTATGGACTGCACTTTGCAGTAAACCTTACAAAATTTAACTTTTTTTTTTGCCTTCTAACCAGGTTACATTAAGAAGTATTTAATAAAGTGGTTACATTTATAGCCTACTTATTAAGAATCTTATTAAATCCCTATTTTATCGATTTTACTCCCTAGACACTATGGTAAATATGCGTTAGTGTATATATTTATTTGTTGATAGATTTGTAATGTGTTCCACCCCTATACGTGGGGACGGTGTGGTCGAGTAATAGACCGTTCGGTTACTAGCCTGAAGGCCTCGAGTTCAGATATTGCGGGAGTGGGACGTCACACTTTAAAAACTTATTTTACCCCCACCTCTTTTGTAATAGGTACCACCAAACATCCTGACCCTTCGCTTCTCACCACCCACCCTCTACCCAGAGTTTCTTCCAGGCATTTCTTCGGGGGGGAGGGGGGGGGGGCTAAGCCCCCCCCCCCCCCCCGAAATTTTTTTACCGCCCCCCCCCCCCCCGAACGAAATGTAATTTATACAATTTATATAGAAAATATATACTTTTAACAGTGTCCGCCCCCCCCCCCCGAAGAAAGTTTACCGCCCCCCCCCCCCCCGAAGATTTCAAGTGCCCCCCCCCCCGGAGAAAAAAGTCTGGAAGAAACACTGCCTCTACCACCCCTCCCCCCCCTCCTAAGAAATTACGTAGCAAACAGTAACTTACAACCTCAACTAACTATATTTGTAACTATTTTAAAATTTCATTTACAAAAAAAAAAAGGAAATGCTGTCACGTTTAGTTATCCCACCCCCTAATACGGATGAAATGTTGCCAGATATAGATCATATAGATACCTTACTAACCCGACTCTTCTACCCCCCCCCCCCTCCGAAAACGGATTAAATGTTGCCACATATAAATACCTCGCCCAACCACCCCCTAATAATGGTAAAAAAAAAAATTCGAAAAATGTACACGCCCTAACAGCATATATTTCAAACTTTCTATAGTTTTCTTAACAGCTTCAAATAATAGCACAATTTTAAAAGGGTGTTGGGGGGGGGGGGGGGGGGAGAAAGAGAAATAAGCTATTTTTAGTAAAATATTAAATTACATTTTTTACTAATATCATCATTAACCTAGCCAATAATAAACCACCTCCATTAAAAATCATAAAGTATCGAACACTAATTATCACAATGTTTTATTTGTTCCGTAAAATCGACTTAACACATGTGTAAACTTTGTCTACTAATGAAGTCAACAACACCTACTCTGAACCAGTGGCGTAGCCAGGATCGTCTCATGGTGGGGGGGGGGGGGTTCAAATTTTTTCCCGCATTATAAATGTATATATCATAGGCGTAGCGTCCCTCCCCGGCCCCGGAGGACAAACTTTTGATTTGCACCCCCCCTCCTCAAACTTTTCATTCGCACCCCCCCCCCCCCTCAGACTTTCGATTTTGCACCACCCGCTCAACCTTTATGTATCTACCGAGGGGTCTATGGGGGGGGGGGGGTTCTGACCCCCCCTAACCCCCCCCCCCCCCTGCCTGCGCCACTGCTCTGAACTACCTATGTATTAAATCGTGAACGACGTCATTTGTTTTCAATTAACACAAAAGTTATTCAAGTTGTCTACAGACTTACCTGGGTATATCTCAATACATGGGTAGAATTTTACTGAACACTTTCAGGGTCGAAGGTCTTTGAAAAAAGAAATCGATATCAATGTGACACAAGTAAAATGTGTTCTCAACGATATATTTGTAAGTGTAAAATATCGATACACGGCAGCCACTATTTCTTTTCAGAACTAGCTTAACATAGCTGGCTATTCACTGTTGGAAAGCTTATGTGTACCAGCAATACAAATAAATAGTGAAAGGGATGTTGCGTAACAACCACACCTGGTCTCCCCAACAATTGACATAATAAACTGCTAATTAGGACTGATGACAATATATCCCTTTGTCAAAATTGGCGTTGTGCTTGAATGTAACACCCCCCCCCCCTTTTTTTTTTCTTCTCCCCAATACAATCGACAAGATAAACAGCTAATTAAGACGGATGATAATAAATCCCTTTATTATAATTGGACATAATCTTTGTAATTATATATGAGACATCATGCTTGACTAACCCGCCAAATTAGAAAAGGGTAACTTAAAATTTATTTTTTTAAATAAGAAAACAAATTTATTTTTTAAAATAAGAAAACAGCAACAACAAAACACCTCGTTTGACAAACATAAAAATTGGTTTCACTATAGGGCTCTAGTTAAAGCATGTTAAAATTTTAACTTTAGATTTAGAAAATGTTACTTAACCCACATAATTTAAAATTACATCGTTCATAATATTCATTCTTTTTCTATTATGCTTAAGTTGGTGTAGAATCTACCATTGTCGCAAAAATTGCTTTCAATTTCGTTTTCAAGTTCAAGGAAAACAGTGATGGGAAAATTTCATCCACCTCATATATGGGTCATTGCTATATTTAGATAAATTACAACTGGCTTTTATTATAAGTTACGTGACATTTCGGGGACGGGGCGAGGACAACGCCATCTCTCACGGCCAGGGGCGTAGCGAGGGGGGGGGGGGCGGACCGCACCGGGTGACACCATTTAGGGGGGTGACACCAAGGCAAAAAAATAGCAAAATATATAGAGAAAAACTTGAGGGGGGGGGGTGCAAATCGAAAGTTTGAGGGGGGGTGCAAATCGAAAACTTGAGGGGGGGTGCAAATCGAAAGGTTGAGGGGGGGGTGCAAATCGAAAATTTGTCCCCGGGAAGGGTCGCTACGCCTCTGGGGGGTGACACCATTGAGTGCCGCACCGGGTGACACCCGACCTCGCTACGCCACTGCTCACGGAGGAGAGCAATACCCTAAGTTCTAAATTTAGATCTTAAAATTTCCCTTCTGGCGCACATTTAAATTATCTAAATAAAACAAATATAAAAACTTTTATAATAATAAGCTTTTAAACACACTTGAAAAACAAATTCATAAAAAACGTTTTAATAACAATCTTTTGTGTTATAATGCACTCAAAAATAGAAAATAAATTATAGGGCCTACACTACTATTTAAATAACTATAAAGAAAAGCGTGGGTTACTTTAGTATCTATTGGATACCTTAACTAATTTTTAGGAAGAAACCCACGCTTTTCTGTATAGTTATTTAAATAGTATTGTAGGCCCAATAATTTATTTTCTACTTTTTAATTCATTATAACATAAAAGATTGTTATTAAAACGTTTTTTATGAATTTTAAAAATTTATAATAGAGTTGCATGACTAAAAACCATTGCGCACTTAATGAACATGACAAAGCGCGTATAACTCGCTTTCTTTAGTAGCTCACAAAATCTCTTACAGATTCCAGCGATCTAAGCTTTTATCAAAGAAAACATGTGTACTTTTCTTTTTTTTCAGTGAAATTTAACGCTTATTATTATAACATTTTTTTTTACACATTGGTTTTATTCTGCACTTTTTAGCAAATTTTCTTTTGCAGTTGACTCAGCGGAGACTACAAGAACAATTTTTCCCGTTAAAACCCCATCAGTATCTTGCAATCTCTAAAATTGAGTCATCTGCCACTTCTTAACGCCCGTGGAAACCAGCCATCCGTTACAAACAGTTTACGGTTGAAAACAGGCTAATCTAATAATAGCTTGAGATTAATGTTCTTATCTCCCCTTTTTTAAAATTTAGGCATTTAAAAAATAAAATTTAGTGACTAATTCTCAATCTGATTGGATTTAAAATTAGATAACCTTACATTGTCATCGAGTTAGAACGTATTAGGAGAGTTTGAACAAAATTGCTGCATTAGAATAGGGTTATAAATGAGTTTACAAAGTTTGCCGTAACCCATTAAAAAAATAAAAACGACAGTTGTGAACTAAATAAAAGCTGATAATAACGAGCTATGTATCTTCCGGAAATGACGTAAGGCTATTAAAACCGAATCCCACAATCCCCCATTTTCCTCACCCCCACAAACATTTTCACACTGGCCACCCACTCTCAGTAATACTAATAGTCGATTCGACAACATAATGTTTTTCATCCACACACTCCCCCCCCCCCCCACACCTTTTGGGCTTCCATCATTCTCTGTGTTTCTTACAGACTTTTTTCTCCGGGGGGAGGGGCACTTGAAAATTATATCGGGGGGGGGGGGGGGGGGCGGACACTGTTAAAAGTATATATAAATTCCATTTTGTTCGGGCGGGGGGGGGGGGCGATATACTTTCTTCGGCGGGGGCGGGGGGGGGGCGAAGAGATGCCTGGAAGAAACTGATCATTCTTCTTAATTATAAATCGAACGTATGGCTTCTGATTGAGGACTGGATAACTAGACAACTACAGGATAGGTTCTCGATCAAGCTCATTAATCCTACCAGTATGTTATTGATACTAAATAAAGCAAAATGAGATTAAATCCATTCGTTTTCCTGAGCGAAAAAAAAAATACTTCTTCTTTTATAAAATTCTATTACTCACTTTTTGGACTTTTGAAATACGAGAATTTGACCTAACCCTTACACATTGTCTTTTCCTCTATCTAGTTCCGTAGCCTGTTTCCTTTGTTTCTGATAAAATTAGAAATTAACTCGGGGTTACTTCCCCCCTCCCACTTTATATTCTTGAAGTTCAATGTTAGTCATATACATTGGCTAATAACACAGCAATATGTGTAGGGGTGCTAACAATAACAATCTTTCAAGAAAGGTCATAGGGTCATTCTTTGCGTCACGACAGGAAGCCAGATTTAACTGGATAAATAATCGTCCCATAGCACACAAAAATTAAAGATTTCTGCTTATGTTTTCTAACATCTAATATCAACACAATCATCACGTTCACTTGAGTGTTACTTGAAGATCATTTCACACACATTGTAATAAATGTCGTGAGGGTGAGTGGTCCTGTCATGACCCCACTTGACCTTTAGCTTGTTTTGATGAGATTAGCTTGAGTCTACAGCCATTGTTTCATTATGAGCAACTCGGGGCAACACGGCCACTTAGCGAGATTTTAGCTTCTTGTTTCGCTGTGAAATTTAGGATTAGATCAGGATTTGGAATTAAAATAGTATAAAGGATTTAGGGTTAGTTAGGATTAGTGTTAGGGGTAAGAATAGTTTTAAGACTAGGACTACGGGTAAATATAGGGCTATCATAAAGGCTTTAGGACTAGAGTACATGTTAAAGTAGGGATAACAGCAAATCAAGGTTTTCAAATGGTATGTCTAACTACTAACGCTTATAAGTGCCCAGCAATCACTTCACAAAAACAATCATTTCTCTTCACTAACCAAATGTTTATTATCATATCTCATCATAATGCAATTTTTATGATCATATCTCTACATAAAGCAAATGTTTATGATCATGTCTCTACATAAAGCAAATGTTTATGATCATGTCTCTACATTAAGCAAATGTTTATGATCATTTCTTATATAAAGCAAATGTTTATGATCATATCTGTATATAAAGCATATGTTTATCAAATCTCTTCATAAAGCAAATGTTTATGATCATTTCTCTATATAAAGCACATGTTTATGATCATTTCTCTACCCCTCAGCTAACGCCCTTGCTGTTGGTCAGCCTCCTCGGCCTGACCACAGCCACCACCGAGGAACAGCTCAACAACTTGGGTGCCTTCCAGTCCGACTGGCCGGTGGGTGACTCCAGGAGATGTCTGGAACAATCAAGGCTCAGCAAAATGCCCGTTAAACGTTTTGAGGTAAGGGGTAACATGGAGGGTTTGAATGGTGTTGTCAAGCACATTACATATAAAGGATGTGGGTCGTTATTACGCCGTGTTGCGATAGAGTGGTGGAGTGGTAGTTTCTAGTTGGATTCCCCGTCCCTTAATCCAATGGACGATTTTAATTGTATGGGATTCACTTGACTTCCCTAAATCTACCGGATTTCTCTAAATCCACCGGATTTCTCTAAATCCACCGGACTTTCATTAATCCGCCAGATTTATATCAATCAAGCGGGCTTACGTAAATCCACCGGGAATCTCTACTAAATCTACCGGATGAACCTCAATCCCTCAGACGGCCATGAATCAACCCGACGTCCAAAAAAACAAAATATGTTTTACATCTACCGGAGCACCCAGAATCCACCTTACTTCCTTACGTTTATAATACGTCATCAGTGCCGGCGCCAGGTTATTTAGCGCCCTAGGCAAAACTTATTAAAAGCGCCCCCCCCCCCCCCGCAATTTTTTTTCGTGCCCCCGGGGAACAAACTTTCGATTTGCACCCCCCCCCTTTCAAACTTTCTATTTGCACTCCCCCCTCAAACTTTCAATTTGTTTTTCCAACCCATTCTGGCGCCCCCCCCCTACGGCCAGCGCCTTAAGCGACCACCTAGTTCGCCTTATAGGTAGCGCCGGCACTGGACGTCATAGAATCTATTCAGCTCTTGTGAACAGTAATTGTCTCAGTCTGTGAAAGATAACTAATGTTGGTGCTATCACACAATCTCACCATATGCAAAAGTCGCCTCACTTATTTGTTCAATGGACTGACCATTCTCAAGAGTACATCACGATACTTACTGCGGGTAACAAAACACATTTATTATATGGGGTTCTGGGTCGTAATATGGTTTTTGGCTGACTTGTGTAAGCGTTTGCACTTGGAAAATAACCCTTGAGCCTTGCCTTCAATGAATGTCATGTGATAACTGAAAGTAGATCACGTGTCAAGGTTGCGTAAACAATGGTACGAAATATTATTCATTTATTTTTTATAAGTCACAAGAAATATGAATTGATAGACCGAAGTTTAGAATTTACTAATCCAGAATTTACCAGTTTTATCAGCTTTAAACAACCAATTTAATGCACAACATCTATTTGCGTTTTCTTTTAATTTTGTGTTCAATTTCCTTAAAAACATTTGTAAAAAATAATATTTTAATTTACGATTTAAAGCACATCATTGCTGGATTTGAAATTTATTTTTGTGTTTTGATGCCCAGAGAATAATTAAAAATGATAGGGGTGGGGTAGGAGGAAGAGGAGGGGGGTCAGGCCACCTATCTCGAGCAGAGTTTCTTCCAGGCATCTCTTCGGGAGGGGGTGGGGGGGGGGGGGGGCGGAGCCTCCCAGAAAAGCATCTACCGACCTCCCCCCGCCCCCGAACGAAGTAGAATATTTATAGACAATATATACTTTTACCAGTGTCCCCCATCCCGCGGAAATTTTAGTACCCACCCCCTCCCGAAAATTGCAAGTGCCCCACCCCGTAGAAAAAAGTCTGGAAGAAACTGTTCTCGAGAGTCTAGAGAAGGGGATCATTCAAGAGGGGAGGGGGTATTAATTAAAAAAATATGGATGAGGAAATAAGAGGGGGGGGGGTAGCTCTGCTATGAATGTTGTTGAGTAAATCGTGATGTCAGGTCAACCGTTCACCATTCGAAGCCCTTTGTTATCATCTTTAAAATGTTGCGATAACAACACTTTTTATAAAGAAAGTATCACCAAACTCTACCAGCGTGCACTGTTCTACTGCTGTTCACGTAACACTTGATATGTTAAAGTTCCACATTCTGTGAACATCTCTACCAGGTGCTTGATGTATTAAAGTTACACATTCTGTGAACATCTCTCTCAGATGCTTGATGTATTAAAGTTACACATTCTGTGAACATCTCTACCAGGTGCTTGATGTATTAAAGTTCCACATTCTGTGAACATCTCTCTCAGGTGCTTGATGTATTAAAGTTACACATTCTGTGAACATCTCTCTCAGGTGCTTGATGTATTAAAGTTACACATTCTGTGAACATCTCTCTCAGATGCTTGATGTATTAAAGTTACACATTCTGTGAACATCTCTCAGATGCTTGATGTATTAAAGTTACACATTCTGTGAACATCTCTCTCAGGTGCTTGATGTATTAAAGTTACACATTCTGTGAACATCTCTCTCAGGTGCTTGATGTATTAAAGTTACACATTCTGTGAACATCTCTCTCAGGTGCTTGATGTATTAAAGTTACACATTCTGTGAACATCTCTCTCAGATGCTTGATGTATTAAAGTTACACATTCTGTGAACATCTCTCTCAGGTGCTTGATGTATTAAAGTTACACATTCTGTGAACATCTCTCTCAGGTGCTTGATGTATTAAAGTTACACATTCTGTGAACATCTCTCTCAGGTGCTTGATGTATTAAAGTTACACATTCTGTGAACATCTCTCTCAGGTGCTTGATGTATTAAAGTTACACATTCTGTGAACATCTCTCAGGTGCTTGATGTATTAAAGTTACACATTCTGTGAACATCTCTCTCAGGTGCTTGATGTATTAAAGTTACACATTCTGTGAACATCTCTATCAGGTGCTTGATGTATTAAAGTTACACGTTCTGTGAACATCTCTATCAGGTGCTTGATGTATTAAAGTTACACATTCTGTGAACATCTCTCTCAGGTGCTTGATGTATTAAAGTTACACATTCTGTGAACATCTCTCTCAGGTGCTTGATGTATTAAAGTTACACATTCTGTGAACATCTCTCTCAGGTGCTTGATGTATTAAAGTTACACATTCTGTGAACATCTCTCTCAGGTGCTTGATGTATTAAAGTTACACATTCTGTGAACATCTCTCTCAGGTGCTTGATGTATTAAAGTTACACATTCTGTGAACATCTCTCTCAGATGCTTGATGTATTAAAGTTACACATTCTGTGAACATCTCTCTCAGATGCTTGATGTATTAAAGTTACACATTCTGTGAACATCTCTCTCAGGTGCTTGATGTATTAAAGTTACACATTCTGTGAACATCTCTCTCAGGTGCTTGATGTATTAAAGTTACACATTCTGTGAACATCTCTCAGGTGCTTGATGTATTAAAGTTACACATTCTGTAAACATCTCTCTCAGGTGCTTGATGTATTAAAGTTACACATTCTGTGAACATCTCTATCAGGTGCTTGATGTATTAAAGTTACACGTTCTGTGAACATCTCTATCAGGTGCTTGATGTATTAAAGTTACACATTCTGTGAACATCTCTCTCAGGTGCTTGATGTATTAAAGTTACACATTCTGTGAACATCTCTCTCAGGTGCTTGATGTATTAAAGTTACACGTTCTGTGAACATCTCTCTCAGGTGCTTGATGTATTAAAGTTACACATTCTGTGAACATCTCTCTCAGGTGCTTGATGTATTAAAGTTACACATTCTGTGAACATCTCTCTCAGATGCTTGATGTATTAAAGTTACACATTCTGTGAACATCTCTCAGATGCTTGATGTATTAAAGTTACACATTCTGTGAACATCTCTCTCAGGTGCTTGATGTATTAAAGTTACACATTCTGTGAACATCTCTCTCAGGTGCTTGATGTATTAAAGTTACACATTCTGTGAACATCTCTCTCAGGTGCTTGATGTATTAAAGTTACACATTCTGTGAACATCTCTCTCAGGTGCTTGATGTATTAAAGTTACACATTCTGTGAACATCTCTCTCAGGTGCTTGATGTATTAAAGTTACACATTCTGTGAACATCTTTCTCAGGTGCTTGATGTATTAAAGTTACACATTCTGTGAACATCTCTCTCAGGTGCTTGATGTATTAAAGTTACACGTTCTGTGAACATCTCTATCAGGTGCTTGATGTATTAAAGTTACACATTCTGTGAACATCTCTCTCAGGTGCTTGATGTATTAAAGTTACACATTCTGTGAACATCTCTCTCAGGTGCTTGATGTATTAAAGTTACACATTCTGTGAACATCTCTCTCAGGTGCTTGATGTATTAAAGTTACACATTCTGTGAACATCTCTCTCAGGTGCTTGATGTATTAAAGTTACACATTCTGTGAACATCTCTCTCAGGTGCTTGATGTATTAAAGTTACACATTCTGTGAACATCTCTCAGGTGCTTGATGTATTAAAGTTACACATTCTGTAAACATCTCTCTCAGGTGCTTGATGTATTAAAGTTACACATTCTGTGAACATCTCTATCAGGTGCTTGATGTATTAAAGTTACACGTTCTGTGAACATCTCTATCAGGTGCTTGATGTATTAAAGTTACACATTCTGTGAACATCTCTCTCAGGTGCTTGATGTATTAAAGTTACACATTCTGTGAACATCTCTCTCAGGTGCTTGATGTATTAAAGTTACACGTTCTGTGAACATCTCTCTCAGGTGCTTGATGTATTAAAGTTACACATTCTGTGAACATCTCTCTCAGGTGCTTGATGTATTAAAGTTACACATTCTGTGAACATCTCTCTCAGGTGCTTGATGTATTAAAGTTACACATTCTGTGAACATCTCTCTCAGATGCTTGATGTATTAAAGTTACACATTCTGTGAACATCTCTCTCAGATGCTTGATGTATTAAAGTTACACATTCTGTGAACATCTCTCTCAGGTGCTTGATGTATTAAAGTTACACATTCTGTGAACATCTCTATCAGGTGCTTGATGTATTAAAGTTACACATTCTGTGAACATCTCTCTCAGATGCTTGATGTATTAAAGTTACACATTCTGTGAACATCTCTCAGATGCTTGATGTATTAAAGTTACACATTCTGTGAACATCTCTCTCAGGTGCTTGATGTATTAAAGTTACACATTCTGTGAACATCTCTCTCAGGTGCTTGATGTATTAAAGTTACACATTCTGTGAACATCTCTCTCAGGTGCTTGATGTATTAAAGTTACACATTCTGTGAACATCT